TGTGCCACAGTTAGCAGCTTCGTCGGTATCATCTTCGAGTCTGACACGCTCAAAGGCTTCCGTGATGGTCTTCATTTCGGAACAATCTTCTAGCGAATCAGTGGCCTTGAAATCGGAACTTCTACCTTGATCATCAGAACTCCCTTGATTATCAGAGCCCTTGCTTCCTCCTCTAGGGTCTTCAGACTTTGGAACATCAATACTAACCTGGGGAAAGAGCTGCCACCCATGTGAGGGATTACCTTTTTTACCACCGCCATTTTCAATCAAATAAGACGACTTCGCTGATAAGTCTGCAACTATTTTGCCGTCACTGATACGACGGGCGACGAGCCTTCCGTAGCCACTGGCAGCTAACGCAGTTCGTAGATTCGGCCAATCACTCACGGCAATCAGGCAGAAGAATTTCGGCTCATGCTCAATGTCGACCACAAGTTGTTTTGGCTTCGATCCGTGTCCACGTGCTTGTGCTGTTTTTTCCTGCCCCCCTCCTGCTGAAGACGAAGGTCCTTGATGTGGGTTCGCAAACGTACCTTCAAGTCTTCCACCACCACTTCCCTGTTGTGTTGCCGCCGAAGTCGATGACATTGCGGCACTCTTCCCCTCCAGCCCTCCCGCTTCTGCCGTTTCTTTCCAGGGTCCTCCAGACAAGAAGCCTGGATGAAAAACGTGTGCTCCACGCCAACTTTGTCTTACAAACTTACTAGGAGGCCCTTCGGGAGCAGAACTAGTTGCACTTTGATCTCTGCCATCTCCAAGATCTCCACTTTTTTCAGGTCCAACGAGCGGATTTTCTTCGGGCTTACTGCGGGCAACAAGAGTGCCAACGAGCTCATTTTCTTCGGGCTTACTGCGGGCAACAAGAGTGCCAACGAGCTCATTTTCTTCGGGCTTACTGCGGGCAACAAGAGTGCCAACGAGCTCATTTTCTTCCACCTTACTGCGGGCAACAGGAGTGCCAACGAGCGGATTTTCTTCAACCTTACTGCGGGCAACAAGAGACACTCTTGGATCTTCGGAGGAACTTGAAGCAGCTTGCTCTTCAGCTACAGAATCGTTTAATCCTGCTGCCGAAGCGGCTTCCTTGGCATCACGTCTTACGTTAGCAATGTCTGTGCCGTTTCCCAAGGCCAGCGAGAGCTCTCCATCTGACACATTCCTCCTAGCTCCTGCTGTGTCTGATGCTCCGCCAGCAACAGTGCTACTACGGACCTCCTGCTCTTGCTCCTTCTCAGATCCCTTGTTCTTCTTTTTTTCCTGAATCTCAACTGCATGCTCGCCTTGTTCATCTTCTGGTGTACCCTCACGACCACCTCCTGAGGCAAACACCGCAATGATATCCGTATCCAAAAGCGGATCCGTCACCCACCCAGCTAGCGCAGACTCCAAGAAGTTGTGCCGTCTCTGCCTTGATCGTATTGGTTGCGAAGGAAGATGACCTTCGTTGATGTAGCTACCATCCGGGTCGGACACGGCGAAAGTCTCACCGTAATGGTTCAGGTCAAGAAATCGGTCGAGGTCATCGCAGTGGTCATCTGGAGTTCTGACTACGGGTTCTACTTCTGAGTCTTCTGGATCTGGACTTGTTTCTTCTAGTTCTTGTTGATCATCAACATCACTAAGACTTGCTCCAAATCTTTTATTTACAAGAACAGGCTTCCATCCTGCACCTGATGTAGTACCATCTGCGTCTAACTTCTCATGGCCTTTCAAGAAGATGCTGAAGTAGTGCTCATCCTCTTTATCAAGACCCTCCAAAGTACGCCTCACATTCACAATTCCAGGAAGAGTGGAGAACATATTTCTTCCTGCAGAGTTTGCGTTTGGGTTTGTTTAGAGCTGCTCTCCATAGTTGTTCATGATCTCTCAGCTGCATCCTTGAAAAATATTTATGGGAGAAGCATTTTATTATCCCTGTGATACTCCCCCATACAACCCATCCGACGTTTCATCAAGGATGCAGCCAAACAAAATGAATTAGCAACATCAGCCTTAATTTGTTTTACCGCCAGTATGCAGATCGTCTGCACCGGTCGTAGCCCCGCCAATAGCTGATGTTATCAATCCGTCCAAAAAGCCTCCGATATATGGAAAGGATGTCTTGTCCGGTATCATGCTTCCAAGCATGGGTACCAAGCTACAACCTCTTGGCACAACAAAATCGCTAGCGAGGAGAGGCGGGACTACAACTAGACATATGCCAGAATACATGGAACACCACAACTGGCAGCAGCGACCTAGGATGCGCCCGCACTGCCGCGCATCCTTATGCGTCTTTTTGATTTGATCCTTATGCGTCTTTTTGATTTGTTCGCAATTTTTCGACGTTAGCGTCTTCTGGATTTTCTGTAGATTGCGCTTTCGCTTCTTCTTTGAATCTTTCTTGTGCATCGCCTCTGCCGCTCGCAGGAACTTGTCACTGACAGGCACGTCGACTTCGTCCTCATCATCCCGAGTCTCCTTGTTGAACAACGTCCCAGCTGAAAGAGTTGGGCTAGTGACACTACTTGTACTTCCTTTAGCCGAAGATAAAAGTCCTCCTTGTTGTGCTTTTGGAGGATCTCCACTACGGCCCCCGATTTTTGTTCCTTTACCCTTCTTAGAGTGACCGCTTGCGGAAGATGTTGATGCAGATGTGTTTGATGGCTTCAAACTACTAGGACTGCTAGCACAACTAGATTTTTGTGCTTGCGCCGCGCTGTCCCCTGATCCCGATATGCTTACGCCAGCTAAGCGCTGCCCTATTGCTTGTATTGCAGTACGTATGTAGCCTTTTCCTCGATTCCGCTGCCTCTCTTCTCGTAAAAGAGCATCAAAATCTGAATTCGACATCTTCTCGAGTGCTTCTGCAGCTCCACCAGCCTTGTTCTTACTGGGGGAACAAAATGTCGATGTCGAATCACTTTTGGCGACCATGCTTAGTGAGCCTCGACGTGTTGGTTGAGGTGTCTTGTTGATGGGAGTTGTAGGTGGTGCACCTATTTTTGCTACTTGAGGTTGCTCTGCTGTTGGAGAGGTAGAAGACACAGCAGGAGCTGCTTCAATAGATGCAGCTGCAGCAGCCAGTGAGCCATGCAGTTGTAGTGCTGAAGGACCCTGAGTTAGAGGTTACGGAATTACATTTTTCCGAACATCCTTAACCCTTTTTTTACTGGAAAACGGGTGAAGGATGGTAGCTAGTGAAGAATGCAATGTCGAAACCCTTAACTGAGGACATTTTTTTTCCAGTGTCGACGCAGGGACTTCCTTTGCTTGTGTCGTAGCAGAAGCCTCGAACAGTGTCGACGCAGGCACTTTCTTTGCTTGTGTCGTAGGAGAGGCCTCTTCGTTCTTGGTTCTTGACTTCGATGTAGCTGCAGCTGGAGGTAAACGCAATCTTTCTCGACTAAGATTTCTAGTACGAGCTCCACCACCAGTTTTAGGAGTCATTGGATGAGGCGTACCAGAGCGACGCGAAGCTCGAGGACGTGCGGCAGATCGCGGAGGCTCATCCCTGCGATCTCCACGCTGTCGTTCTTCTCGTCGCTGAGTTGCCGGAGGCTCGTTTGAATCCTGCTCGTGCCCTTCACCTTGATCCAAACTAGGCTCTTTCGTAGGTGCGCCTTCACCTGAAACGGTCTCTGTGGAGGACTTGATTTCTTGTTCCAGTTGGGTAATGCCGGCTTCATATACATCGTCCCCTTTGTCAGTTCCACAGTAGCTATCATCAACTTGCATTTCACTAGGCTTTTCCAGTCTTGGTGCGCATATGCCATCCACCTCTTTCTCATTGATTTTGACTGGACCATTACCATCGTGCCCATCCGTATTATTTTCTTCATCTTCACTTGATGTCGAGGTAGAAGCGGAGCTTCCGTCACTATTGTCTCCATACAGACGACCGTGGGCGATGAGTCCGTTGCTATCTTCATCAGGACCGTTGCCACCATCGAGAGGATGAGCACAGTATCGACCATCGTCACCATCGTCCTCATCTCCACTATCGATACTGTGCTCATCCTCTCGATCACAGTACGGAGGTATCGTCACAATGCAATCACCGGGACCCCAATCTACCTCCGGATTGATCTTGACACGGAAAGCGCGCCTCCCAACTTCATCACGCCACGATGGAAGTGCAGCGCTTCTAGAAGATGTGGCCACTTGCTGATGCTGATCCGCTTCCCCACCACGACCACGAACAACATCATTTGCATTCCCTTCTTCGTTAGCAACGTGGTCGTCCGCTATTATATGAAGAACCTCTGGTGAAGATCTTGTGGTCGTTGTCGGATCCTCCGAGGCTGCGGCTGCATGCACTGCCGCTACACGGAATGTCAAACTAGAGATAGTGACGATCCTCATGCCCCAAGACAAGCGCTTGAGAAGATGAGCGTCTGAAGACATCGTGATTATAGTCAATGTGGATGTCCACCTTGCAGCTTGTAATGAAGGAAAATTTCATGGAGCTCCTCTTTACACAGTCCTCAGACACAGAAATAGATAAAAATGGTAGTATCGATAGAAGATGTAGATTATACAGGTGCAAAACATAAACATTGAGGAACGATGTGCAGACACATCAGAAGATGTTGTAGTAGAAGCCACTTTGTACAACGACGAGATACTATGTTGCTTTTTCGGTCTAGTACAAGGTAATCTTTGCCAACCATATTTTTTTGACATACGTTCTTGATGGTTTTCCTTTTTGTATCAGGATGCAAAGCCAAAGTAAGAACTAGTACGTGCCGCTCAGCATCTAGATCTCAATCTTCACCATCATGATCATAGTGCTCCTTGTTAGGAGATAGGAGGTAGAAGTCTTCAGCGTGTCAGAAGGGATCACAGATCTTTGAATGACGTTGACTAGAACCTCCACTCAAGACAGCAAGCCTCCTGTACCTGGTCACCGAGTCAACAAAGGTGGAACAAGAGCCCCAAGTAGTAGAAGTAGATGCACAGGAGAAAAACGAACACGAATCAACAAGATGCTTATCCTCGCAGAAAAGTGTGTGCAGAAGATTGGCTTCCCCTCCTTCTACGTACTTACAATAGGACAGTAGTTAGCGGCACATCTACTGTGGTCCCAAATGTTCAAACTACTTACAACAAAATTTTGCCTAAAATTCGTGTTACTCACAGCTCGTCGTTTTTCTGTCAAGATGTGGCCATGACTTGCACCTTTTTCGGTTCTGAGCTTGCTTCTTCCTGTGCTGTAGCCACGTCTTTTTCGGCCTGTGCAGTTTTAAAGCGCTTCTGGATATCTTCTGAGCACTGCGTACTATGATGACCGCTCTGCAGTAATTCGGCTTTTCTTTCCTGGTGATGTGGTGGTAGTGCATGTTTGTTTCTTCTATCAAAAGGTTTTTGGCTCCAGTCAGAGAGAAGTCAAGGAAAAAGGAAGTCAAGGAACCTTCACAGATCATGGTCTTAAACTTTCAGGAGTTAGTCTCATTACCTCTCCCAATTGAAATCCCCACGCCTTCGGAGGCCCACCAGACTCAAGAGTATCCTCTTTGACGCACTGGAGGAACGCTGTTCGCGGTCCACAGTAGCCTGGCCCCATGTCCTTATCCATCATACAGTGACCAGGTGGGCAAAAAACTTCATCCTCATATCCTGGAGGGAGGGCAGCGCATGCTGACCGTAGTCCTGCTCCGAGGACCAGTGCCGTGAATGTTCGCATGTTGCAGGAAGACACTCTTCTTCTCTTTAGATTTGAGAGCGAGCCTGAAGCTCTTGGTGCGGTGGAGGAACTGGCGTACCCCGATGTTCTTGAGCTCGTCGGTGCGGCTTCCGCGCCACCGGCATGATATGATCGTTCTTGCAACACTCTTGATGCACGTGAAGTGAGTGATACCTAAATCGTTTGTTTGAGTTTATTGGGGAACAAAAACTCCGACAGAAAGAATAGATACTCTCCCTCTTGCGACATTTCTTCTCGGATTGCGAGTTTTTGTTGCTGGTTGTTGGAAAGATATGGATTTCAGTTTTGCTTCTATCCAAGCGCCACGCTCTTTTCTACTTGGCCCAAGTTGCACTCAGGTCAAGCAGGATGATACAACTCAGACGTCGCACGAGTACTCTCTCCTCAAACTCGAGCGCGTCAATTTTCATCTTCCGTTCTGTGCTCGTTTAGCTCCATTCACGCGTTGTACACATGAGAGTTTGCCCGATCAGGCATGAAAGACACTTCGTATTCTATGCTTCATGATCTTGATCTCGACTTCAGTGTTACTCAGATGATTGAATGTTATGGTTGCGCATGGATCTTGTGGACTCGCGACGTTTCACTTTCTGTACAAAAACTCCGCACTGATATCGCGAAGCGAGTATCAATAAGTTTAGTTTTCCATTTTCCGGCTGGTCGTTTCTTCTCACTGATATGCGCATGGGCTTGCCGAAAACCAAAACGTGTGTTACAAGAACAGATCATGTGTAGTTGACTGATTACTGCTATAGCCCTCTGCACTACAACAGCACAGCGCGACTATGTGATGGTAAGCATGGCCTTCTATGCGATGCGCCTTATGAGGTTCATGAAGTTCGTGTTCGGTTCAAATCGCGAAGATGCCAGTCGATAAAGAAAATCAAAATTGAATCCAAAACTTCAAGTATAGGTGGGAAAATCAAGACGAAGCTACAACGCCACGTCCCTGGGTGGTTCATTCAAGAACAAAAAAACAATAAGCAAAGGCAAACGATCACATTTTTGAGAAAAATCATGATACACAACATCAAAAGAACAGCATCAAGGGGATGCATGTGCGTTTAAGTATGTTTTCAAAGTGCTTCTAACCCATCCGAAAGCCCTGATCTTTGTGCTTGTTGAGGAGGTAGAACTAGTTAAGGTCTATGAAACTTTAAGCAGCACCCCCGCGAGGATGCTTCAGCCCATGGCGTCCCACCCCCCCAGGTTCAATAGGTGGTTAAACACAGTGGGAGGTGGGTGCTCGCATCTCCAGACGGCCACCAAACTAGTCACGACCATAGGTACCGGTTCACCATGACTAGCCCGTGAAGGGATCGCATCCATCCGTCCCATCACAATCTAAAAAAAATTCTTAGGAAAATTGATAGGGTAGATCATCTACTTCAACTACTTCTTACCACATTCGAAACTGTTACACCACCTAGAGCCGTGTCAGGCCCGCTCGTGCTGAGGTATCCATCAGTGGGCTCTGATCTCTGCCACGTATCACACAGGACCGGACAAAGGCAAAACTGAAACGATGATTAGCTTTCGAAGCTCTTGACGATCCCGCCAATGCATCACCAGCGTTGCCAGACGAGGAAGTCCTACCAGTCATGGAAGTTCTTGTGCCGACAAGTTGTTGCTTCAGGTTCGAATGCATGCTTCTCGTGTTTGCTCTAACTGCAGCAAAACGATTGCTCACTTGCGCTATCCACGTATTCATGTTCGGAACTACAGGTGCGCTCTTCCTTGAGGCACCACCAGGAGCAACAGCAGGAGTTGTGACAACACTGTTCAGCAATATCATGGTGGAAGAGGATGTGCTATTACTCCTTTCCCTATTACTACTAGTTGTGCTACTGGTCGTGGCAGCTGTTGTAGTAGTTCCAGTCTTGCTATTACTCGATCCTGCAGCACGATTAGAAGGCTGCCCAGATGCAGCAGACATATTTGCTTTGTCGTTTCCATCTGATGTTCCTCTGTTCCTTTGTTCAGGAGCGCTGCTACGAGGCTCATGCGCTGCCTGAACTGCTGTGTCTGCCACTCCTCCTACTTTCAGTCGTCGTGTCCGACCCCTGTTGTTCGTTTTCTCTTCTTCATCCGAGTCAGCGGACTGAAACTCACAGGCTGATGGCGTTTCTCGCGAGGCTTCCCGGATACGATTATTTCGACCACTTGAAACTGGGAGTGATGTGGTCTTCGACGACGTATCTTGTTTCGTGCTGATGTTCTTGTCCTCGAAGAGGACGGGAGCGGTACTTTCATTAACATCTGTTTTCGCTACCACGATCTCGGTCTTTGCATTTGCTATCGTCTGCTCCTGCACTTCCTCGCTCTGAGCCACAGACGCATCAGAAACTTCTACTCGAGGAGGTATTCCGCTACTCGTGCTAATCGTCGCGCTCGCGGCGGCAGTCGGCGAACTAGCAGCACTAGTGGCCGCGGTTGTAGCAGCAGATACCGGTCGCAAGCCAGCAGTTGGGTCATAGGGGTCGCGACTGCGTAGATACACATCTTCACTCACCTTTCCAGCCAAAAGCTCCTCAGTCCAGACTTTTTCGTCGCCGCCAAAGGAATTAGAGATGCACGAGTGGCGCATGATGAAGAAGATTGCAGCTTGTTCTAGAAGTAGTACTTACATTCATTAGTTAATTCAGGATCAGGAGATCCTTCTAGTACTTTAACTTTTTGCATTAGTTCATTCAGGAAAAACTGAGAACGAGAAGAGTCTGTCAGTGATCGTAACTAATCTCCCAGTCACAGGGCATGGCGTCGCTTCTGGGGACTCGTTTTCGCCGCCAAGGTATACAGGGATGTCCTTCTTATCGAAGAACTCCAAGAGACCATCATTGTTCGCCAGGAATCTGAACTTGTGGATTGTTGCAGGGTTCAGAAGTAACTTAGCCAAAGCGTTCGTGGGTGCGCGTAGCATCCAAGGCATATTCAGGAATGGAAATTAGAGATTGAGTAAGATCATTGTGTAGAAGATGCGATCTTGGTAGAGGTATCTAGCTATGAGGGTCAAAAATCTTAAGCAAATTATATATAAGCTTTTTGGTGTTTGATTCTGAGACATCGAGCCATAAAAAACGTGGGCAATCATTTCGGGAAAGAGGTGGCGAGTCGCGCTCGTAATCGGTTTCATGAACGAACGGAGCCAGGACTGTTGCAGTGGTAGTGGTACAGAGCCAGTGTCAAGGATTTGACATGCTTCATCGAGATACAACTACTGCATCAAAAAATATGATCTCTATCTTCTCAAACGGAAAGGGGAAATATCCAACAATCAGTGGTCCACAGACAAAAACCTTATCTATATCAGATGAACTTACCACCGCTGACAGCCCTACATTCGCCAGGTCCAAAACAATGATGATGCGATCGACGATTTGGTTGTGCCTCTCGCTAAGCTTTCGCATTTGCACCGCTGCTCCATACTCCCAAATCCTTAGCCAAGTGCGGACCATATCTTCGTTCGCCATTTTCGTATTGAGCTGAGCAAAATCCGCATACCCAAACCTAGTCCACAGGGTCGCATAAGGTCTAGGACGCGCGGCGGCATTTAAGAATGCGTATCCGGCGGATTAGAAATAAGCCTAAGTAAGATGAGATCATGAGTCACTGTAAAATAAACCTGCTCGACGAGTCTCAGATTCCCCAACTTTTCTCAGTCATAAACATGTTCGCGAAAACCCGAGACTTGTTTTTCCGCAAACGCCGTATTGAATAACGCATCGTTAAGTCGATACTGCTCTCGCAACCTAAGGCATTCCCGCACCCACCATTCTCCTCTGTCCAGCAAGTCTTCGATGCGATAGTTTTTCCCGGTCTCTTCTTTTGCTTGCCAAAGCATTCGAGTGGCCGTTGAAAACATCAACGGGTAGAGCGGATGCGAGGTGGTGCTTTTGATGTCATCACCTCCGGTGAAGCGAAGTTGTCCAGACGCATCGGTCACCCCTGGCACCGTCCCAAAGGCGCAAGCCAGGATGTTGATACCTGTTCTTGCCAGTAGTTTCTATGTTACTTCTCGAGTCAAGAATTATGGAATGACATCACGAAGGTCATGAAACGTGGACGATTGAAAGAATACGAGGGAGGAGCATGAGTTGTTCCGAGCAAAGCAATGTGAAAAGTAGTACCTTTGCTCTGACATCGCTGGATAAGCTGCAAGGTTTCCTCTTCGGTGGCAAGGAAATCTGGATGAGCCTGAATCAGAAGCTTATCTCGTCGCAACATTCTACTTCCTCATCCTCGTGCAAATCTAGAATCTAAACTTATTTCTGAAGGGATGATGAAGATGATGATGCATGCGAACAAAGCAGCCAAAGCTATGCATATGCCTGCGCACGGGCAGAGTAACCGCAGCAGGACGAGCAAGGGGAAACAATTGATCAATGAGTAAAGAAAATTGACATTATGAAACACCACCTGCAGCAACACATGGAACAAAGAGAAACGTGCAACGAGTGATCGTGAAACGTATTATATATACGCCGGATATTCATCTTGAGGTGGACGGATGAAAAGAATGATTAATGTAAAAAAACTAAAAGACAATCTTGCCATTTTTCTTTGTCTACCGACTAAACACTAAAGCCACATTAGAATTGTTCGAAAGAATCAGGAGCTATTCATCAAGTACAACCAGAAGATCTCTTGATGATGATCAAGAGCACAATATGCTCCAAATAACCACCAGGTCAAAGTAAGAGCATGTTCAGATTTGCTCAGAAATGGGAGAATTGTATTCTTCATGCAGCTCATATGCTCGACGTTGGTTGCTTTCGGGGGGCTATGGGTGACAGGGTCGGGTATGCAAACAACAAAGGCAAAAGCAAAACGAGGGATCTTCATCTCTCACAGTGGCACTCTACTTTCGCCTTCATGGCGGGATGCAGGTAGGAACTACTCAAGTGTTCGAGCCTAGTCTTGGAACCATGTGATTCTCCGATTGCAGTTTCTCCAGATTCATTAGAGCAGACATCAGGACGGTAGGGAAGACTCCTAGAGCTCTTTCATCCGAACGGCTGACGTCGCTGCGTGTGCCCATAATATGGCCGAAGAATCGGAAACAGATCATTGGGTAATGGAACCGTGCGGACTTTGGAACACACGCCGAGCTTTCCGCTTTCGCTACTTGCACCCATACCCGTGAAAGTCATGCTCCCTGCCTTATTTTAGTGCATGTTCATATGGCATCATGGTGATTTCCCATGTGAATGTTTGTTCTCGATCAAAGAAAGTAAGCGTTCTTGATTTCTTCAGAGTTTTAGCACTTGTTGTGCTTTTAGGCCTGATCTCAATTTTACGTTGTTCAAAATAATTTACAGGTCCATCCATACTGTATCTTGAGTGTTGAAAATGACTGAAAAAATGTCTTCCCTATGCATAATTTGTCGATGTTCTCATTCCATGCATGTTTCTTGTTTTTTTGGTGTAAAATCCTCTATGCAGACGCTTTCAGTGGTTGTTGTAGTCGTCAGTCGTGCGCGTTGTAAAAATGAAATAAGTTATGAAATGCGATATTGAAGATCCATCATAGTTAGGAAAATTCAAGATTATTGAGAACTACAAGATCATGATGGTTTCTTACAAGAAAAAAAAATACACCCCTTAATGTCGAAATTTATGGATGATATCTTTGTAGGATACATGCAAGAAAGAGTTGCTATGGAATGCTCGCCAGCATATACTGTTTGAAGGGCTACGCCGATAGAGGTAAAAACTAACCGAGTGTTTTATTTTAGTAAATCGACCAAGAACATATACTCGAGCACAAGAACATACAACTTTTCCAGGTGATGGACTGAGTCAGTGGGACTCTTCTACCTATTTTATACTCTCATGATCTATTTCAGAAAGGTCGCACAGCTCGCATGGCATGGAGTGCATAGATCACATGGAGTAGCATGGAGCTAAAGGGGGAGCTTCTTGCGCCCCTCAAAGCTCTGCGCTCCATGCACTCCATGCTACTCCATGCGCCATGCGTGCTATAAACTACGCTGCTATTTCATACTGGATGTCGATCAATAGTTCAACTCAACTTCCCAAATTCCCGTCGGCAAGCTTGCGGACGGATAACAGGTGTCTCGAAGACATGGGAAATAGCGAGCAAACGTTTCTCCTGGCCCGCACTAACTGGAGCATGTGTTTGCCACGCGTAAAGATGCTTGTCACCCTTATTTTCTTGGCTTTCGTCATCTACGTCTACTGCATGCAGCTTGCGGTCCTGTTCGTTACCCTTGTTCGGATGGTGGGAGGTCCTCGTAGGCGTCGACGACGTGAGCAGCGTCGGTCGAATCGAAAACGGACTAGAGACGGCCTTCTTCCCCGCACTAATCTCTTCACGATGCTCGCGCATTTGATCGATGACGCAAGTAGTGGTTTTCTTGCCTTTTAGAAGGCTCGTTCTTTCGTCTACTAGACAGGAGTATTTCCGTGGCTCACCATTTCCCTTGCCAACGTGGTAAGAAAGTGCCGCTCCCACGCTGCGAGGTGGTGAATATGTCCGATACGGATTGTGCACCTCCGTTGGCGATGATACTTCTCTGGATTTTTCGTGGATAAGGTCTTCCTCCTTCTGTTGTTCAGCGCTGTGTACCAGTTTCCTAGATGGAGAAGCAATAACGCCATTCGAAGCGCAAGCTTTGCTTATGAGAGCTTTATGACGGTCTTGATGATCTTGGTCACCACGATTCTTCTTCAGTACTTTCCCCGGTGTTTTACTAGGAGAAGAAAATGGGGTTGGGGCAGATGATGGAAAAGTACCACATGGAGAAGTAGTAGGAGATAAAGATCCTTTCCATTCTTCCACAAGCGCTTCGTTCTTTGTAACTACAGCTTCAGATGCCAAAATCTCCAAGCGCACATCACGAAGAAATTTTTCCCCTCTCTTGCTGGATTCGAAACCAAATGGTGATGACGGGGAGATGGGCGTCGAGGGATCTACTGTCGGGATCGATATTTTTGGGAACAGGTAAGGAACCGTAAGTAGGCCCAGGCCGCTAGATCAAGAATAATCAACTAAGGAGTAGGAGTGAGTGCGCGCAAATTGTGGATCAGGAAGAAACTTGAAATTGAAATTTCAAAATACAAACGAAGGTATGCATCAAAGAGAAGATACCTGCCTCCTTAGTCGCAAATCCCGCACATTTTGCAACCGCTTCTTTCCCAACCTTGGACATTGCTTGATGCCACATTTCCATCCGAACATCGCCTTCAGTAGGACTCTGCGGCTTCACCCTTGATGTTGGCTCCGCAGCTCCAATTCCACGCATGTTGCTGCTAGAGTTCTTTCTGGAGAAAGAACTGTTCTGCTGATGTTGCAGGCGAAGTACTGAATGGTTCGGGTATTTGGTAACCTGAATTTGATCATAAGGGAAAACAAGAAGAGAACCCTTATGATCAAATTCAGGTTACCAAATCCCAGAACCATACAAGTACATTTTCGTTTGCACTTACGACCTTCGGGGAAGTACAACTCATTGGGCTGCGTCCGATTGTTTTCAGCATTTCAGCTTCCACTGCACGGCTCAAATCACGGACAGCTGGCGAAGATGGACGCGAAGCGTCGAAATTCTTAGGACTGAGAAGTTCTTCATGCAAACTTTTGACTGACACCGCCTTTTGCAGCTGTGGTGAAAATATCTCCTTGTTAGTGAAGCTGACGTCGAAGGTTTTGTTGTTGATCGTCGATGTTGAAGAGCGAGAGGTCGTAGTCGTACTAGAAGAGACGGAAAAAATTTTCGAGACTGAATGTGCATGTTTTGCTTCTGCTTCCTGTGGTGCCTCCTGGTGTTGATGGATCTTCGTATCGCTACGACGGACACCAGACGTCGCTTGTTCGACACGAGAGGAAATTTGGTTTTGAAGATGATGCTTGGCAATCTGTTTGTTGGACTTCTGGATCTGGTTTCCCGCAGCAACTTCGAATAGTTCCGATTGCTTCATTGCGCCAGTATTCAAGACGCGTGTCAATGGCGAGAAAGCATTCTTCACGCTCGTTTGTGGTGGGGGCCGGGATCCATTCTTCAGATTCAACTGCTTGTTGGTGAAGGCACTTCCGACCCCAACGTGGCTCACATTGCTATGGAACCGTCCTACGATGGAGGAAAAATGATCATCATTGTTGCCGTCATGGTCCACTTCCTGTTGCAGCAACCTCATGGCATTTTGTGCGTCTGCACTTTTGGGCGATAAAGAGGCGCTGCGGACACGTTCGAATGCGGGTGACGTGAGACCAAGGATTAGAAGGTCTTGTTGAGAGTTAGTCTTGAAATCACGCTAACTACAATTTGCACATGCCGTAAGCTGAAATCCTTTTTCCAAACCAACAAGCCACCAAATGGCATCTGGTTTTCAGGGGACCGCTGCTGAACGCCTTCTGGTAACGAGAAACTAATCGCTTTCTTTGACGGAAAAGCAGCAAGACTTTCCTGTTGCGCTTCTCTCGCGGACGCAATGGCTGTACTAGCTATCGAAAACGGAGATACTGCAAGCTGTAGCTTCGAGGCTTTCGTCGATGGTGTCAAGACCGCTTTGACATCGACGAAGTCCAAATCATCTAGTTTTCTTGTTGCCGTTCCTTGCCCTAGACCATCTGGGCGGGCTGGCGACGACATCGAAAAGGACCTCACACTAGCGGACTGACGCAGCACGTAACCCTGCATTTCTCCAGCACGACTGGCCAAATGCTCCAACATAATTGGTGGACGCCGCTGCACCTTTTTCTTCGCGCTGTTCGTCTTGGGTGATGTGCTTGTGCTAGTGGTCCTTGCGAGGCGAGGCGGGTCGTTGCTTGGTGAATGCGGAGCACTAGTCGTGTCGCAAGCAGCTGCAGCCATCAACATAGGCATAGCGCTCATGCTCTGCGGTGACATCGGAGTAAAAGTACGTTGCGCTTGTGCTTTCCACGTGTAGTCGGACTCTGCTGTCGCAAATACTCCTACCTGCGATGGCAACGAGGCAATTGACCCTGCCTCCATCACCGCACGATTCTGGCGTTTTTGCCCACGTTGTTGACCATGATTTACTTGGCCGTGCTTTTTGTCACCGCCGGATGAACCATCTTCGACCGCAGCACGACCAGGCACCCCGAGTTTGTGATCAATGTTGCGACGAAAATTTTCGTGATACGGAGAAATCATGAGCCGGTCCAGCACAGAGACAGACGTCGAGGTTGCTCGAATAAGACTCGTAAAATCGGCAGTCGATGTGCTGTGCTCGGCTTTTGGCGATTCCTGTGTAGCCGAAGGCTGTGCAACAGGAGCTGCGATGGCAGCCACAGGGCGACCTGATGAATTCCCGACATAATTCTTGCCACCAAATACATTTTTGCCGTTATTCTGTCCAGCTGCCGTGCCTCCACCGACCACATAAGCAGTTGCTATTTTCGGTGTCATTTCCGTACCAGCATCAACCATGAGCTTTGGAGCAGTGACTTTTGCAACGACCGCAGCATTTTCACCCTGGTCGCGATCTCCAGAGCCTGAGAGATCCACCAGCAAAAGTTGATGCTTACTCGAATCCACCAGATCAGTCTTTCGACCTCTTTCAGCGAGAAAGTCGAATTTCGCTTGATGTTGTTGCCCACCTCCTACAACCGAGGTCGCTGGCATTGACAGCAAATCTTGCGATTGCAGAGTGGGAGAACATTCCGAAAAGCTTATCGTCTTTTCCTGTGTAAGGCAACTGGTCGTGCTCTTGATGGCTGGTTCTTCTACCAACATAGTTGTACTGGTGGGACGAACTTCGGGTACGGGCTTGGGAGTCCGGCTTTCTTCTCGAGCTTCAGACGCAACCATGGCAGCGGCAGGCGTGGGTGCGTTAAAACGAGAGGCGGGCGATGAAGCACCTTGGTGGTCCACCTTGGCCGGGGCATCATCTTTCTTTTCGGCTTCGGCACTCATCTTGGTTTTCTCGTATAACGAATAGTGATGAATTTCTAATTCTAGTATAATTCTTCCTACTACAGCTTCATATGCCAGAACCTATGAGCTTCATAATCATATGCCAGAACCTAGCATGAGCTGGGTCTTCATGTACAAATGGGAAAGTAAAAGGGGTCTGCGAGGTAGGACTAAAACAAGTAGACACTACAGCCTGAGGCAGCATCAGCAATAAGACACCACTTCTCAGTTCTCACCTGAAATGGAGCAAGAAGTACATAGAATGTCTTTCACAAAAATGTAGGAGAGTAGAATTCATCAAGCAAGATACGCAAAAAAAAACGCATCGTTCATAGCAATTTCCTCTTCATCGTCAGCAGGAACAAGAAAAAACTTCTTTGTTTTGACATAAACCAGATCAGGAGCACTTCTTTCACTACTTATTTTCTCTCACCGAGAAGGATAGCTTCACCGACTGTGGCAAAAACACGAAACCATGGATCAAATGTTTTTGCATTGTGTTCAACATGCATTCAGAAATACCGAGGTACAAAACAAGAAAAAGATGTTGACCGATAATTCAAGAAACAGAAAAAAACTCGGACAGATGCACGCGCATTTGATGTCAGTCACAGTGGTGAAAAAAACGGACACACGGATTGTTTTGCCTTGCTGCATAGGGGTGAGAGCGCAAGTTACTGAAAAAAAGCAGTGAAGACGATCGGGATCGACCTTGAAAAAGTTCCATCAACATTACTTTCATTTCATCAGTACCAGTACCAGAAAATCAGCCCTTTGTTACACAACGCACACTTCAGGTGTGTGTTGAACCACTCACGTGTAAGTACATCAAGTAGCGATTTCGACGGTCGGATGTGTACTAGAAACGCCTCACTGAAGATGTAGCGCTTTCAGCTTTTCACGCACTTCCGCGTAACCTTCTGGTTTGCTGAACGTCTCCTCAATCTCAGTGACGCTGAGAGCGACTGCCTTGAAGCCGAGCGCGCTGAAATCTTGTTGCGTCTTCGCTAACTTGTTCGTCGGCGTTGAAGCGGAGAACAAGACAGTAGAAGATGAAGACTTAGCTGCTGCACCATCGACATCTTCTATCGAGAACAAAGGCGCAATGTATTGCTTCGCGACTCTTTGCACGTCTTCTGGCGTAACCTCCATCAACCGAGCTAAGACACGCGACACGCGATTCGCACCACGCCTTGAGATCGTGTCGACGAAAGAGCTACCGATGATGTTCGGTACTGTAGAAATACCGGCAATCAAATCGTAGGTGATGCCAGATCGAGCTGCACGAAGGACTATTGGATCTCTGAGGAGGTTGGTGACGGAATCGCCTGCCTCAGCACCATCGCTGTTCATCTTCCCTTGGATCGCTATTCTCACGATGTTCTTGGCTTCTTCCAATGCAGATACCGGATTCGAGCTTTTCTGCAACACAAAAGTCAGCATACCGTTGTCCAAAGACAACCCCAAGTCGTAATTGTAAGCGAGACCTTTTCCACGGATCTTACGCCAGAAGGGGCCTTCGAGCATGACGAAGCACTCACAGGCTAGAAGAAGTGGCACGACGTCTGGATGGTTGAGATCAGAGAAGCAAGGTGTCTGCATTCTCAGGTAGTTGGACTCGATAGAGGACGCGTAGACGATGATGCCTGTTGGTGAAGATGTAGACGTTGCTGTTGCTGGAACTGCTAATTGGTCGAAGATCTTCTTAGTTTCATCGCAGCCCATCTTCAGACCCTTCCAGGACTTGAGAGCTTGGTATTTCACGCTGCTCAAATTCCAGAGGTCATTCAAGAAGAACGAGCGCGTTGATTCTGATTTCACCTCTCCACCAACGTGAACCGCTACTGAGGTTAAATGAGATTGCAACTCCTGCAGTTTCGCGAGAATCTCTTGGAATTTCGCTGCTTTCTGTTCGTCAGTGAGCTGGACAGCTGCAGCCTTACTCGCTTCAGCTTCAGCAGCAGCGGCTGCTGAGACAACCGACATGGCGTCTTCGGCTTCGCCTGTTTGAGAAGCTGCCGCCATCTCTTCATCCTCACCTCCATCGTCTCCTTCTCCATCCTCCATGCCCTCGTCGTCTCCTTCTCCATCTTCATCTGGACTTCCACCTGCACCCTTTCCACCTGCAGCTCCAGCCGATAGTCCTGCAAATTCCTTCAGAATCTGCGGCCAAGACAGCACCTTCGACATGCTGCTATCTGCGGCTAGCAACGGTCTGCTAGCTAGACAGCACAATGGCCACGCCGATCGCTTCTCCTGTGGCAGCTCGTTGAGCAGTTTCGAGACCGCAACTTTTACCTTCTCCTCTGTGAACAGGACGTCCTCCTTGATGCGCAACAGAAACTGTCCTCCAGTCTCGGTTGCCGACTTCGCGACCTTGGCGTAGAAGAACAACGCGTCAGTCGCCACTGGACCAACGCCGAAGGGACTGTGCGCCCCGCGCCCAGCAGAGATCTGCAGATGCGACGCGTTGAAGAGTTCGGTGACCTTCTTCACCGTTTCATCCGCCGTCAAAGCAGGTCCAAGCTTGCTCGCTTTCAGTGGTGACTGAAAAGCCAATGCTCGCCACACTGGGAGGACAGCCAATAGGTCGGGTCTTGACTCCAGAACTGCAGTTGGCAGTTGATACACGAATCGCAGATCGCAGAACTGTGCGCCATCGATCGAGTCAAATTGCGCTCTCACATGTGGTACATTGTCGACGTTCTTCGTTTCACAGGGAATCAACTGGACCTTGCGCAAATCCGGTGCTTCGATGGAATTTGCCAGAACCTCACTGGGAGGATCGATACCGTTTTTCGCGTCAGCAGCATCGAGATCGGCTTGATACCTAGCCAAACCGCCGCCAAGTGCAGATCCCGCTGTTAGTGGGGTATCGATGATCTGCTTCTTTTGTGCTTCCAATCGCTGTTCCTCGTCATTCTGAAGCTTCTCTGCTGTTTCCTTAGACGGCTTGCCGAACAGGCAAACGCGGTGGTTGTCGACAAAGACACTCCGCAACAAGCCCAACCATCTTGAGACTGGCCACGCTGTAGCGTCAAGCAGTCGGTCGTAGCGCTCGACCTTCGACATGTGTTCTAGCAAGACTGCACCAGGCTGAGAAGTCGTTTGCTCAGAAGAGCCACGACTACCTCTGGCAAACGTCGGCCCAAACAAGAATTCGGAACTCAAGAAGTCAGCGTAGGTATCATGTGGACTAGACTCGAGACGTTGCAAATGCTTCCTTTTTCCAAGTTCCAAGATTGACCGCAAGCGGTCGTAGTCAAACTTCTCACAGCTAGTCGTCTCGTGTTTAATGACATCTAAAATCACCTCGTCAATCTTCTTGCTCGCACCACCAACAGTCGTGTAGTCGTCGACGGTCTCCAAATTGACGCTCTCCAGCTCTACTGTGAAGACGATGTGCGCGACTTCCAGCTTGCCGGAAGAGATGTGTCCGCAAAACGGTTCCCTAGAAGATGTAGTTCCAGTCGTGGCTGATTCATTAGAGGTAGGCTTTTGGTGCTTGCTTACCCCGCTTTTTATGCCTTTCTCTTCCTAAGGGAGAGAGGCATAAAAAGCGGTAAGAAAAGCACCTTTAACCTCCCCTTAAATTCACCAGATGTAGTTCCGGTGGACGACATCGAGGACATTGGTTTTCCTTCGCAGAAAAATTTCCGCAATGGCGACGAACTATCCTTGCAGAAGTAGTCCAGCAGCGTTTCACAAGCCAGGATCTCGTCGAATTTTCCCCAATGTGGGCCAAACCACGAGACTTGCACGCAACCGCCTGCCTCGTCATCTTCAGCCGGAAACTGGTGCTCCTTGTAGTGCCCCTTGGTGGGAAGTTCCAAAGCAGTAGTTGAGAACGGCCTCTTCTCCAGTCTGGTCTTCTCAAAAGGTCCTCGAACTGTCTCCCACTCAGCCAAGATCGGAACGGTTTTCTCGCACAATTCCCGTAGCCCGACTTGACCGCAAACGATGACACAGACGTTCTCTGGGGTGTAGTACTCGGCATGATAGTCCTGGATCTGCTTGTTCGTTAATTCACGCAATTCTTTCAGTCGCCCACCGGTTTCGGCTTTCAGGGATTTGTTCTTGTCCGTGAAAAGAATCCCTTTGCGCACATATTCCATGATGTCGTCCATCTCATTTTCACGAGCCTGCATCTCGCAGTAGACGACGCCTGGTATTGGATGAGCAGTTAGTTGGAGTTAGGGTTAGGCGAGTGAAGAAGTGAGAAAGAATTAGTCAAAAGAACAATGGGAGTGAAAGTGATATACTAGTACTTCCCGCATCAATTAGTACAAAGGAAAGCATGATACAGATGAAAATTAGAATGAAGTTCTTGAAGAATGGCCAACAAAGCTAAGTAGTAGTAGTACCTGAATCCACACCCTCACCATCGATATGGTGCACTTCAGTGTGAAAAGCCTCTTGCGTCAGTGTCGGAAAGAACATATGGTCGAGATAGATTGGCATAATCTGAAGAAAGCCTTCGGATCCGGCGGTCTCGATCTGAAAGAGGCAGTGGGGATTATCTTCAAAAAATTGAAATCCCTTTCGCAGTGGCACCCACAAGTACAGATGAAAAGCCTCAACTACAAAGGCCCGTAGTACAGAAAAGCCTCAACTACAAAAGTCGGAAGTAGTACCGTATATGTCGTGTTATCCGTATCCGTCCATGCGTTCGTCCCCTGTGCCAGACACTGGTTCGCCAACAGGTCCAAAATTCCCTTATACGGGTAGTTCTTCGAACCCATGAAGACCAAATGCTCCAACGTATGCGGAACTCCATAGTCATCGAAAGCCTCTGTATGTACTGCAAAGTAGCCATTGACGCAGGGTGACTTGACTTGTGCCAAGCAGATTGCGAGCTTGCTAGCGTCATGGCGAGCCATCACGACAGGAACAGACTCGTACACGAATTCATAGACAAGGGAAAAACCAGGAGGCAAGTCATACTTGGCAGCAACAGCAGGGCCAGTGGCCACTGCGGAAGGAGCAGTGCCGTTAGTGGTGGCGACCATTTTTTTTGGTGTTGGTGAGGAGTATAGGTATGGGATGCTTACCTTTATAGGTTTAGGATAGGATTTTGAATAATCACTGAGTAGTTGGAGGAGTGGTGATGAAAGAAAATAAGTAGTGTGTTCTTAGGTACATACATGTAGGTACTAGGATCTAAGTATGTGAATACTCCTTCCGTCGCCTGGGCTACGTCTTTTTTAGGATGGGGCAAATAGCTTGAGGTTCATGTTATCTCATAACATCAACATCAAATGCTCACCACTACTACCAAAAGTCATCGCCCTTGATGAACAAGCAGTGTATTCCTGCTGTGTGATCCAACAAGGTGAAAGTTCTGCAGAGAAATCCAGTCAGCTGAAGCAAAGTAGAAGATCCTTCTACACGCCATTGCAACACGAGGGAGCTGGAACACCACGCCGGGAGCATGAGATCACCTTCTTGTGACTATTGCCCAGCGTGTCCTCGCTGATCAAGGACAAAGAAGTTTCAGTTTCTCCTGATATTATAATTCGCGTCGACCAAATATGAAGATGTACAGCATTACGATTTTCGGAAGTAGTTGTAGTTCTTGATTCTAGGGCACAAATTAATATTTGAATTCGCTTGCTTTCAACGAGCAAAGTTTGCAAACATTCTGAAGACAACGATCTTGTCTATTTTCTGTGAAGAAAGAGGAAAACTGCTAGGCGCTTCGCGATGTTGCATATCATTTCATGGAACAGTGTTAAGAGAGATATCAACGTATATTCAGCTTGTCTTTGCTTTCGTTATTCTGATTGTTCTTTGAGTGTATTTTTTACTTTTATTGATATTGCAACCGTTTGCTGTCTGTGTTTCCTAATTTTACCTCTCATATGTTTTTGAAATACCTTCTACTCTCATAGCTTATGCTTACTTACATTTTGTCGTTTGAGATGCATGCATTATATGAATGATTGTGCACTGTATTCGTATCAAAAGTAACAGAGACCCGCCTATTTTTAACTTATGATGCTTCAACATTCTTGGGTTCAGGTTTCAGACGTTTTACGGCGTACTGTACAAGAACTGCATGTCTTTACTTCTTTACGATTGACTCTAAATTTTCCAGAGATTTTCTTTACAATGTGACAGTTAAGCAGCGTTTGTTGTTTTTTGTTTTGTGGAATGAAAAATTAACACATGTTTCTTGTGCTGCATACAACAACGACTTGTTTTTTTTGTCGAAGTTGTAAGTGTGTAATTTTAAAATAAGTATGTAAGTTCTCTTTTAACTCTATGCGTTCTTTATTTTTTTGCAAAAATTCTGGTACTACAAATATGGCGATGGTAATGCAGCATATGATGACATATTTTTCTCTAGTTACACTAACACTAACTCTAACAGATTACGAATGCGTAATTTTTTCAGAGATCTTCAAAATTTTGTAGTAGTATGCTTATTTGCTATTCACTCTTACTTTACGTTATTTTTGAACGACTACGACAAATCAGTATTTCTAATAATTCGACAACGACAACTAAATACCAGACAACAACGACAACTTTTGACAACTTCTACTAGACGACAGAGACAACTACCAACTACAAATTTTTCGACAACAATATGGCAACCCAGACTTGGTGTACAGCTACAACAGTACGTACTACGGCATATTCTAGGAATATGCTAAATTTCTAACCTCAAGCACTCCGCCCTACTCCTCGTCCGCCCTCCTCAACGCCTACGAAAACACTACCAGAATCACCTTCCAGCATTGCTTTATCGACACCACCCCTTGTCGACTTCACATGATGATGCTCCACCTGCTCTAGCACCATTTATTCTTGTCCTAGTACGAGTACTGCCTTCTCAACATTTGTACGAGTACCAAGAAGGAGAAGCAGCAGATGAAGTAAGTACTACCTCTACTGCTTCATCTCCTCCTCCTCCGACTTCTAATTCTATTTCAACATTCTCAAGAACTTTTTTACTTGCTTTCCGCCAGGTCCCGCACGCGCATTAGCTCTTCCAGCTCCTCCTGTGCGATTTTCTCATCGATACGGGCAAGCTCTTCTAGCTGTGCTTTCCTAGCGCGTCGATCCTCAGCCGTTAAAGACTTCTCCACCGCCTTGAATTCGCGTACTTTCTCCGAATAGACGCGAAGACGTTCTAATGCTTTTTGCTTCACTGCTCTGGTGTGCTCGAGCACAGCTGCTAGTGGAGGCTGCTGCTCGTCAGAAGTTGTCGTGACAGCAGTTGTATTTCTATTTCCCGAAGAAGTGGCTGTGGCACCACCGGAATCAGCGAATCCTAAATCGCGGTATGCGGCTGGAGGAGAGGCGAGTTTCTCAGCCAATTTGGCGGAAACTTCAGCTGACTTTTTTTGACGCTCCTTTTGTTTCTGGGCTTTCGCCTTCTCTTTCTCCTTCTGCGCTTCTAGTTTACGTGCAGCAGCAGATTTGGCATCTGCATTTGCAGCACCAGCATCCTGCTCTGGGGTCCTCTGCATAGGCTTGAAGAGAGACCCAAGTGGCAGAAGCTGCGGTGCTGTGATAGCGCCTGATCCTACTGTGGTCCTGAACACACGTGGCTCTTGTGGTGAACCAGCTCTGCCAGGTGGACTCCTGCTGCCGTAATTCGTCTTAGTTCTACCTCCACTACTGGCACCTTTTCCGCCTCTACCTCTGCCATCACCTTTTCCGGAACTTTGCACAGAAGACGACACCACACTGGTCTCTTCCGCACCAGAGGAGGCTTGTTCCGAGGAAGTGTATTCTTGCTCTTCAGAATAGTCGCCCTCCTCTTCTTCCTCGTCTTCCTCTTCATCGTAATCTTCAAGGTGTTTCTTTTTCTCGACTCCAGCATGTCTAGCTATGGTTCCTGGAGACCAATTGAGCGCCTTTGCGCCTTCAACTAAGGCCATCCTGCCCATGCGAGCGCGCTCATCCGCAATGGCTTTCTCCCGCTCAGCGAGCATGTCTCGCATCGCTCGGCGCAACGTCTGGTTCTCCGAAGTCAACTTCTTGTTCTCACGCTCCAATTTCTCTTTCTCAGCAACGACCTTGCGGTAGCGCTTTTCTTCCTGCTGTCTGACCTTGCCATGTAACTCGTGCACGCGACGTAGCTGCTGATGATCAGCGGCACGCGCTTTTTGGACTTCACCAGCCTGGATGGCCATCACCTCCATCAAGATCTGCTGTTCCTTCGAGATCTTCTGCATCTTCACTTTCTCAGCATCCGCGACCATGCGATCCTCTTCGCGCTTTATGCGCTCGTTCGTCAGCTGCTCCAAAGCTTCAGGCAGTGTCTCTGCAGGCGGAGGAGGAGCCATCTCCTCTTCCTCGGCTAGCTCTTTGTCGTCGACTACGTCCAAATCGTCCTCCTCGTCCTCACGAATAGCGCCAAAGCCACTCATCTTCTTGAACGCGCTGTCCAAGCCTTTTGCGACTTGCTCGCCTTCGGAGGAGTCGAATGTCGGAGTAAAAGTACTGAGACCACCAGCCAGTGCTGGGAAGTATTGGACACGGTCGGCAGCAAACTTACGAGCTAAGCGTTTGAGACGCTTCGCAGTCCTCTCGTCGCCAGCGCGCATTGAGGATTTAGTGGCGACTTCCATCTCCCTAGCAAGCTCCTGAGCATACTTGGCCATTTGCTCTTGAAGCTTCCGCTTCTCATCCTGGATACTCTCGATCTGACCCGCAAGACTGGCACGATTTTGCTCGTTGGCCAGCATAGAGTTGCGATTGTTCTGTTTGATGTGGTCAGTGAGTGCGAAGACATGAGTGTGTATGTGGTCGATCGTGCATATAAAGATCGATGGCAATCTATCAGTGAAGAAAGAGTACAAGAACTAAGAGATGTTGATGACGAAGAGATCATGAAGACGAGGAACGACAAGACAATAAATCGAGAAGAATCAATGTACAGTCGTTGTCGTCACTATCAACCACAAGAAATCGGAATTAACAAAACCAGCATAGAAATCTTCAAACTTCAAGAGGTCGATTGTAAGTAGTACCTCTCTCTCCCTCTTCATTTCAGCTTCGTAAGCCTCTTTTTCCATTTGTTTTTCGAGTTCTAATTGTTTGCGCACTTCCTCTGCTTGTTTTCGACTTTCCTCTTCCACCTGTGCTAGCTGAGCCGAGAGCTTCGCGCTTTCGGCTTTTGCGCTTTCTCTCTCCTCCAGCATTGCAGCTTTCGCTTTTGCGAGTTCAGCAGCCTGTTGTTCTTGTTCGGCTATGAAGTCTTGTTGCAGAGCATTGCGCTGCGCAGCTTGCTCCGCATGAAGGAGTTCCCGTTGCTTCTCGAGCTCTGCTGTTAAGACTTGCTCAAGCTCCCTGGTTTTTTCATCGTCTTTTTCAGCTAATTGAGCCTCCATCTGTGCTCGCATCGCGGCTGCTTCCTCCTCCAAGCGCTTCTCGGCAGTAAGTTGTTGTTCTTTGATCTTCTCCATTTCGGCCTGAAGAGCCTCTTCACGCTCCTTTGTCTTCTGGGCGTGACTCCCGTCCATCATTTCCAACCTGTCTCTTGCCATCTCCATGGCCCTCTTCTTCTCCTCCAATGACAGTCGGACCTCCTCTTCCTTCTGTTTCTGAAGACACAATGCAGCCTCCCTCTGCATGCGCATCGATTGGCGTGCCTTTTTCCAGTTCGAGGGACGCGAAATGGATGAAGATGGAACATTGCTGGCATGATCAGCAAGATCTTCCGTTAGTTCTTCTTGGCTATCGCCTGGAAACGCGGTATCGATCTTGGTCTGCATAAGGCTACCTCCGGATGCATCGGCAACGGCATTTCCGCTTCCGAGCATGGTCGCGACATTGGAGGAACTGCTACCTGCTAGGTCGTGCGACACATAGCCACTTGTTGGCTTGTCGGGATCCTCTGACAACGAGGACTTTGATCCATACGACTTCTTGTTATTTCCTCGACCAGGACTACCAGTACCAGGCAAGTGTTTCGAATATCGCGGTGGAATGTCACTCCATGGCTTCTTATCATGTCCGTCATCTTCACGAGCAGCATCATCATCTCCATCTTCCATCTCGACAACGCGGCTCTTAGCTCTCTCGCCTTCCGCACGCGCCTGAGAAATGCGCCTTCCAAACGGTCTCTCTACAACCTCAATTTTCACGCTGCCACCCATAGGATCAGCCACTTCCTGCTGCTCGTCCGGGAACAATGCTATGCTAGCAAGCTTCTCGCGGTTTTCGCGCGTCTCTTGCAACTCATGTTCAAGGTAGAGGCGATCGTGCACTCGCTCTTGATTAGCCTCCTCAACTGCAGCTTGCAGTCCTTCGACTTGAGTAGCGTGCTTGGCTTGCAGCGCTTTGATACGACGCTCCATGCCTGCCATAGCATCAGCCATGCGCTTCGCAAGAGACATCTGCATGGCGCGAGAGACCTGCGACGACGAGTGTATGTTGTACCGCATCGAACAACTACAACAAGTAGTTGTTACGAGGTAAAAAATAACTACAAATTTGGGATATCGAAAATAATGTTTCTTCAGAATCAAATCGATTGGTGAAAGAAACAATAAAAGATATCAAGAGAGGTAAAAGTATCACACACACAGCCTAGTACTAGGTAGTACCTTAGAAGCATCCGCCGTCTCCAGCTTTGACGAAGGTGATGTCGGACTGCCACTAGAGCCTTCTGGCTTCTCTCCGTCTTTTTCAGCACCTTCCTTTTCATCCCCGTCAAGGATTCTTGCTGACTGAGGTTGAGAGTCATCCTGGGCTTCTTCTGCCTCGTTAGCGGCTAGCAGTTCTCGCAAGTGGCGGGCCTCTTGAGCGTCCATCGCTTCCCGCATATCTACCAATGCCGTCTCCAAAGCTTTTGTTTGCTCATCATAGAGTTTTTCCCGAGCCTCGATGCGCTCTCGGAATGCCTTCAGCTCTTCCTCCGTGCTCGCTTCTTGTTCAGCGAGTAGCTTATCGAACCGTTCGGCTTCTTCGAGACGGAGCGCTTCTCGCAACTCCGATAGGGCCTCTGCATCTTCGTTTTCGCGTCGGATCGCCGCGATCTGCGTTTCGCGCTTCGTGAGTAGCGCGACGCGCGCAGCCGCTTCCACAGCTCTCAAACGCTTCTCGCGACCAGCAGCAGACAGGTTTTGCGCCTTCTCCTTCAAGAGAGTATCGGTTTCGCGAACCTTCTGGGCAGTTAAATCCGCAAGTTCTTGTTCTTTCTGGAGCAACAGCGCCTTGATCCGCTGTTCCTTGCGTGCACTGAGCTCTGCCAGCTCCTTCTGTTGTTGAACTCCCATTGCTGCAAGCTCTTTTTCTTTCTCGGAAATCACCTTTTCTTTTTGCGCCTCCAACTCCGTAAACTGTTGGTGTTTTTCTGCAAGCAATTCCTGTTTTTGCGTCTCCAAGTCTTCGAGCTGCTGCTTCACCTGCGCAATCTCGACGTCCTTCTTGTTCGCCGACTGCCTTGCCTTCTCCCTCACTTGAGCCATCTCGATCAACTTTTGAGCCGAGAGACGGGCCACTTTCTCTTTGATTGCTGACAGTTCTTGCTCCTTCTGTGTGGCGAGTTCGGCTAGGCGCTCTTGCACGTTGCCCTTTTGCAAGGCTAGCTCTCCGACTTCACGGAGTAGATCTCTGTTCTCGCGATCTTTCTGCGCAAGCAATTCGTCTCTTTCCTTGTCTTTTTGCGACAACAGGTCGCTCTGCTCCTTCTCCTTTGCGGCAAGAAGTTCGCTCTTCTCACGCTCTCGCAGCGAAACCAAGTCGAGCAGTTCTTGCTCCTTTGCGGCGACGCGTTGTTCGGCTTCGGAGATAAGCTGTTGCCGTTCTTCCTCTTTCTGCGCGAGCAGTGTCTCTTTCTCTTGTCCATGCTGACCACGTAGTTCCTCGATCTCCTTCTGAAGCTGCGCCTTACGTGCCTCCTCCTCAGCAAGGAGGTCGTTCTTTTCCTTCTCCTTTTCCTCCAGCAGCCTTAGGCGCTCTGCCTCTTTCTCAGCGACGGTCTGTTCATACTCTGACAAGAGCTTTTTCTTCTCTTCCTCTTTCTCCGCAATCTTCTGTTCAGCCTCCGTCAAAGATTTGCGACGCTCCTCTTCTTTCTCCGCGACGCGCTGTTCTAACTCTTCTAAAAGCTTTTGCCTTTCCTCCTCCTTCTGAGCCAACAGCGTCTCCTTCTCTTTGTCAAGCGTGCCGCGCAATTCGTTCATTTCCAACTCCAACTGCGTCTTTCGCCGCTCATGCTGCGTCATCAGATCAGCCTTTTCTTGATCCTTCGCTAGGAGGACCTCGCGATGGGCCTGGTCCTTCTCGAAGGCGATCACGGTGCCAGCTTCTTCCTTGGTTTTTCCAACGGCGAGCTCACGCTCCCTATGCATCTCCTCTAGTTCCTCTTCGAACTGAGTCCTCAACTGCTTCAAACCGGTCTCATACCGCGTGCGCATCTGCGTCAGCTCGCCCTCTCGCAACACCACATCTAAGCGTGTGCGGTCCAAGTGCTCTGTCAGACGGACAACGTCGGCAAACAGACCTTCGACATGCTCCTTAAGGATGCGCACGTCGCCACCATGCATATCGCAGGCAAGCATTTCTGCGATGCGGTGGGTCGTGCCATCCTGAGGATATCTCATGTTCATCTCAGGAGAAGGTCCTACTGCAGCGGGAGTTATTTGTCTACTCGGCGATCTGCTCATAGGAGCAGTCGGCGGAGCAGCCCCGCTTTCGTGGTGCAGCAAGTGTCCACCAACGGCAGCAGCTTCGCCACGACCCGAGACCGACAAAAGTTCATCGTCGATTGAACGTTGGGCGGGAAGAGAAAGGCCAGTCAACATTAAACGACCACTAGCAGGAAGAGCGCCAGAAGTTGTCTGTTGATGGAAATTCTGTGCAGCAACTAGAGCCTCGTACACTTGTTCCTTTGTTTTTGTGTGATCAAGCAAAACTTCCTGGATGATTCTGGTTTTATCCTCGGAAGTGAGGTCTGCAAGCACACTCGGACGCGCAAAGTTGTACTTGTGCTTGCGGAAATTCATCGGCTTTGACGGAGGTGGCAATGTAGCAACGGTCGATATCATCCCGGCTACGACTCTTGCCGGACTCGGACGCATAGGCGGCATATCTGCTCCTCCCTCAATACCGCTTTGCTCTCTGCTGGAGGGTGCAAATGCGGTTTCTCCTTCCCCAGAGATTCCGGGATGTTTTTTCGCCGAAGCTGGCGGCGTACGCGCAGACGACCCACGAGAAGACGCTCGTGCACTTCGTGCACTCGGATGTGCAGCAGCAAGCATTCTGTCCACCGTTCGTGCGATCACCTCATCGCTATGCGTGTCCGACGAGCCGGAAAACGAAGCTCCTAGCACAGCGTGTTGCGAACTTTGAATCGGTGCTCCACCAATGCTATTCCTTTGTGGCGGTTTGCTTCCATCGACTAGATTCGTCTCTGACCTTCTGTGAGCAGCAGTAATATCATGCAGTGGCTCTTCCGCACGCGGGTCACCCAAAAGCAAGAACCCCTGCACATCGTGTCTGAGCTGAATCATGTCTGATGTAAGTTCCGATGTAGGCACCTTGCCCATCATCTCAGACATCAGCTTTCTCTGGTAGCGATTCGCAGCCCTGAAGTAGTCCAAATCTGCGGTAGCATTCGCTAGCAGAAAGGCCTCAGCTTCAGTTGTCGACCCACGACGATTCCATTCGTCCTGCTTTTCACCGCCAGCATCGTTTTCTTTCTTCTGTCCAGGTTCGTCTTGTAATTTTTCCGGAGGTCGTCCCTTCGTGGCTTCTTTCGCAGCGTCGAGCATCTGTTCCATTCTGTTGGACGTGTCTCGACCCCGTGCACGAGCTGAGTTAGTATCTTCTGTGCTATCAACTAGCTGGTCACCGGTTGGATTGCCACCTTGATCTTGCGAAAAGAGGTCTTTCTCATTGCTCATGCTTACCAAGGCCTTGACAGTTCTCAGTGCTTGCGTCAACTCCAGTTCAGCGTCGTCACTCCTGCCAAAGATGGCTTCATCCTCCATGGATAGAGGATTCCCAATCAACGGACCACGACCGCTCGCGCGCCGTCGTGCAGTGCGAATCTTGAGTAGAGCAGAAGCCAAAGCGTCAACGTCCTCTGGATTCGGAGGTGCACCACTACTTCCCGGAGAACCAGTCCCAATCCCACTGGCTTTGGGCTTCGCTGTCAATCTTGCGGAGACGTCCTGCAACGACGCTTTTGCACTCCCTTTTTGACCATCGACCACTGGCTTGTTTTTGCGGGCAAGGAGCGCGGCTGCGAGCTCCTTGGCTTCCACAAGTGGGTCTGCTTCCTCTGCGTCAACGGACGCTCCTCCCAAGTATGCTGACGGCACAACAGCACCTGTGGAGGAGCGCCGACGCGACACGCGCGCAGAGCCTTCTCCCGCCGACGAGGACATCAACGTATCCTCCGATGAAGACGACATCCTCGCGGGTCCAAGCAAACTGCCACGACTCGGAACGCCAAGCTCTGTAGACATGCCGCGAGGAAGAACTCGTCCCGGTGCTCCGCCGTCCATATTGTACGAGTGAGAGCCGCGAATCTTCCTGAGAGTGTCTCCCATCTCACTCTTTTCCGACCCGAGCAGCTCAGAGGGAGAGTTCCAAGGAGCATTCATCTCCTGCTGTGACCGTAACCTCAACAAAGTAGCAATCAGACCGTCAACTACGTCAGAAGTCACATTTTCCTTTGGATCGTTACCAGTCGCAGCAGAGCCAGTATGATGTCCCGCCCGATTAGCTGCGTCTTGGCTGCTGCGACGCCGCGAGTCGCGCACCTTGACCAAAGCCGCCTCTAATTCAAGCTCAATTTGGTGTGCAGGGGCGTCACCGGTAGTACTGCCAAGCAACGTGGACTGGTGGGAGGAGCCCAGATGACTACCCGACAGATTCTGTCCAGGAACTACAGCAGAAGCACGAATCCGTTGCAGCCCCTGAACGAGGTCCCCAACTGCGCTGTTCTGCTCCTTGAAGTCTTGTTCTCCAGTAGAGAGCTTTTCACCCCTATTTCTACCACTGCGTTTCTGAAGCTTGTCCGCAGACCGAATCTTGCCAAGAGCTGTGACAAGTTCATCTTCCACAGCGGATGCTGCAGCAGAAGCTGTGGCGGATGAGGCGTTGTGACGAGTTTTGCGGACCTGCAGAAGGGCAGCTGTGAGCTCCTCTTCCATCTTAGACGCACTGACTGAAGACAAAACGAAATTCGGTTCACCGCTCTCAATAGCCAAAGCTCCATCTTCTGTGTGAGGCCCACTGCTAGAAGATGACGAAGGATCCTGCACAACTGCTGCAGATGAGGCCGCTGCTTCACCCTCTGGCTTCTTTCCGACAGGAGCAGTTTTAGGTTGATGCCCTTGCGATGCTCGTTGGGATTCTCTACGAACGTTTTGTAGCTTTTCAAAGATACCGTCAACCATCTTTGCAACTTCAGGGTCAGGATTGGCAACACCAGAAACGCTGCGTCGGACATTGAGCATAGATGGATCGCCACTACGAGCATTCTCAGCCGACGAAGTGCGTTCTTCTAGCAAATTGGCGCCAGAAGAAAAAGCGACCATTTCTGTTGTGACGCCAGCTTCCATCAGAGCAGCTGAAGCCGCGACTTTCTGCACCGCACGGACCTTCGTCAAGGCAGCGGACAACTCCTTCTCCACACGTGAGGCTTCGTAAAGGACGTTTTTGTACACGGCCTTGCTAGAAGAAGACGTCGTCGGAGCAGCCGCGGCCGCCTCGTTGGCTCCTCGTCCGGAACTGGACCCGCTTCTTGCCGAAGACTGCAATTGGACTTCTGGAACGGCAGCAACAGCAGCGAGACCTCCTGGAAGCTCTCGTCTTTCCATCTGAAGCGATGTCCGGACTCTCTGCAGTGCCGCTTCTAGTTCGTGTTCAATCGCATAGCGCCTGCTCTCTCCTAGCGTACCTGCGGTAGAAGCTTTGGCATACCAAGCGGGAGCAGCAGCGTCCGCTTCTTCGTCGCTGGATAAACGACCTGGAGGTGCTCCTTCACCCGAAACGATTGAACTTCTCGCGATATTCACAGATCGGCTCGGCCGTTTAATCATTGCAGGTGGCGCCTTAGGTGGCAGCACGGAACCGTCGGAAGATACAACTCCACCAGACTGCGATGAGGAGGACAGCGGATCTACCACGCGAGACTTCTGCTTCTTTAGTGCGCTAGCAAGCGAAGACGCCGCGGAAGATGTACTACGAGAAAGGCGGCCATTCGACTTCTGAAGAGAAGATTGTTCTTCCTTAGAGATAGCCTTCGAAATCGACTGGATTCTCTGGATATTTCCGAGCAAGTCATCAACGATGGTGTCCGTAGAAGTGATGTTGTGGTCTTCTGATGAATCTTGATTTTTTCGTTTCTCCTTGGTACCAGAAGAACTTGAAGTTGATGTCTTCTCTTTTCCATCACGGGCACTGCTACTCGCCAAAATGGACTGCGAGCGGATTTTTTTTAGCGTAGTCACAAGAACGCCCACAATTTCCGCCTCCGCGTCATCGGTCGAAGAAGCGCCCTTCTCAACAGCACCGCGTGCGGCAACCCTGGAATTGGATCGACTCACGAGAGGTGTTCCGCTTAAACGCAGAAGCTGTTCTGCTAGCTCTTGGCCCTCCGACATAGCGGCTTGTGACGCGGCACTGCTGGCAGTGTCCCCAGACGCCAAGGCTGATAGGCGTTGACTGGAACGGACACGCTCGATGTGCGACTCCAAAGAAATCGGCTCCTCTGTGCCGCTCTCTTCCTTCAGTGTGCCAAGCGGGTCGCCAGGTCTCGGAATATAATCTTGTCCTTCGCTGTGCACGCGCACGTCCGGCACCGGAACTCCGACGTTAATACCACGTTCAGCCGTGTCGCTGACACGAAGCAGCACGTCAACCACTGGAGCACCCAACAAAGTCAAACTGCGCAGTTCCTTAAGAGTCAACTCGCTGTCAAATTTGAGGCCTTCCTCGAAAGCAGCGGCTTTGCCCGTCAACGAGCGTGCCTCCACGTGGATCTCGGCCGCAAGAACGTCCTGCGCATGCCACATCTTCAAGTAGAGTTGGTCCTCCATTGCATCATACTTCTTGTGGATCAAGTGTTCACGCCTCTCTTTCGCCTCTTCTTGTTGATCACGACCTGCCATGCTGCCAGCCGTTTTCATCTTCTGCTGGTGGTCCTCTCGCACTTTCTGAAGCTCTTCCCGCTTAGACAACTCAATCTGCGCGACTTTCGAAGAGTGCGCCTCGGTGAAGGTGTCCTCCTCGGCTTTGCGCTTCTTGTCAATCTCATCGCGCAATCTGCGAACGGCCTCACTGGCGCGAACAGGTGCAGTGGCGTCATGTTCGAGTTGTAAAAGTTTTTTGGCGTCCTCCAAACGTTTCTTTGCCATCGTGGTCTCGGCCAACGCCTTCTGCTGTGCTGCTTGGCGCTTAGCGGCAATCACGTCGGCCTCGATGTCGGCATCGCTGTCAGACGAATCGTCCAGCCCAAGCGCTCTAGCGTTCTCCAGAAGCTTTTCGCGATCCGACTCTTCTTGATCGCTCCTCTTCATCGCTTGCTTGCGCTCTTTGGCTTCCACTGATTGCATCAATTTTTCCTCCTCGTCGATCTCTGCCAGTTCAGCAGCTAAGGTGTCTGCTCGCCCCATCGATTCCTCTGCGAATTCAGCGTCTAACTTTTCAAAACGCTCTTGCAGAGTCGCGCTCTCCTTGTTCAAGGCGATTTGGTGCTCGCAAGCGTAAGCTCCGTCACGACCAATGTCGCGTTTCTCACGCGCATAAGCTAGAATCTGAGCTTGCAGCTCTCCACGTTCCACTCGATGACGGGTGCGGACGTCATTCACACGGGTAGCAAACTCAGCATTGACAGCTTGCACTGCTTCGCGGTACCGACGACGGTTCGCTGAGGTATTAGTCGAAGAAGCACCACCGGAAACACTAACTCGAGAAGGCGAAGATCCATCGGGCTCAGGCGTTTCCTTGTTCGATGCACGTCGCTCACGACTAAGAACAGCAGACGCCCTCTTCGGTGAAGCAGAAGATGTTGAAGTTGAACCCCTACTTTTATTGATGCTAGGAGAAGAGCCACCATCTGTGCCACTCGAGGTACCAGCGCCACTTCCTGTTGAGGACACCACTCCAGCGCCAAGATTAGGACCAAGTTGTAGTTCTTTAAACTTTGCGTCAATTTCCTTACGCTTGGTTTCAGAAGTCTTTTTGACCTCTTCCTCTTCTTGTCGGAAACGATCTTCCAAGTCACGCACCGCATTTGCAAGTTCCTGTTTATGAAGGAGGACATGGGTATCATACGCAGCCATAGCAGCAGTCTCGGCTTTGTTAGCCGCAACGTCTCGATGCCTCGCAGTCTCGGCTTGCAGCAACGCCATCTGCGTCGCCTCTTGTCGCTTAGCCAACAGCACCTTTTCCTGATCCAGCTCGGTCCGGACGAGTTCAAGGGCACGACGAAGTTCCTCAGCATGGGCGATTTTCTTAGCCGACGACTGATCCGCATCGTTCGCTACACGACGTTCGTGCTCGCGACGCAACGTGTCTCCAGCTTCTTCGGCCGTCTGCTCCAACTTCGCAAAGTCAGCCGCATGGATCAGCTCAGACTGCCTCACTAGTTCTTCGAACTCCTCTTTCACCACTGTTTCTGGAGGGACGACGATTTTGTTGGCTTCCACGCGCTCCTTCTCCTGTGCAGCTTTGAGCTTGATCTCTTCTTCCTCTGCTTTGGCTCGATCCGCCTCCTCGCGAAGCTGATTCTCTCGCTCGAGTTCGACGTTCAGAGCCTCCTCTCGAGTTCGGAGCTCAAGATTCTTCTTCTGCATCGCGAGCTCCATCCGCAGTTGCTTTTGCTGCAGTTCGTCACCTGCAAGTTGTTGGTTGAGGGAGATCGAGAACATGAGCTTGGATTTGGAAAAGGAAAACCAAGCGATATCGTATGACAATATTTTTAAGCATGATGATGATCATGTTGCAACAAGATAAGAAGAACGAGAAAGAAGATATTAAAGCAGAACATCAAAAAGTCATCAGTTGTACCTTTTTGAACAGCTTTTGCAAGCTCCAGCTTGAGGCTCTCTTCTTTCTCCTTCGCGGCATTCTTCAACGACTCCTCGTTTTCCTTCTCTTTTTGAAGGTTCCTCTGCAAGACCGAGTTTTGTGCTTGACGGCGAAACAGTGCCAGTTGTCCCTTGATGCGACTTTCCTTCTCTGCGTTTTTCGCTTTTTGGGCGTCTGCCAAGGCATTTTCTTTTTCCTCGAGTTTCTTTTGAATGTCCCTTACTTCCGCATTGGCTTTAAACACTGCAATTTGATCAGTAGCTGCCTTTTGCTTCGCCTCCTCGGCTTCGCGTGCGCGCCGTGCCTCCAGCCGGTCCAAGTCGCTCTTCAAACGCTCGACCTGCACGTGCAATTCCTCTTTTTCCGAAGCCAGAGCCCGTTCTCGCTCCAGCTCGTGCTCAAGGGCCACCGAAACGCGCTCGCGCTCTTCCTCAAACTTCTTCTCCAATTTGTGCTTTTCCTCGCGGCGCTGCTCTTTCAGCTTTTGCTTCTCCTCGGCAAATTTCGCAGCCAAGGCCTGACGTTCAGCTTCGAGATTCGCTCTGTGCTCTTCTTCCAGATGGGCTTCCTCCTCAATGCGCTTGTCGTGCTCCGCTTGCAATTGCCTCTGCAACTCTTCCTCTTCCTTCTCGAGTTTTTTCTCTTCTTCAGCGTGTGCCAACTCTTTCAAGCGCATCTCTTCCTTCAACGCTTGACGCTCGGATTCGACTTGCCGATCATGCGCTTTCGCCGCCTCTAGAGTCTTGGCTGCGGCTTCGGCTTCTTTCGCGTGCTCGGCCGCCATCTTGGCCTTTTCAAGTTCCAGTTTTTCTCGAAGCAAAGCCTCCTGTGCTTGCGTCTTCTCTTCGAGCAAGGCCTTCTGCCGTGCGAGCTCTTTTTGCTTCTCGCTATCGAGACGAGCCTCGCGGCGCGCAGCCTGCTCTTCGATCTCTCTTCTCGCGGCCCCTGCCTCAGCCATCAAGCGCTTCTCTTCCTCTGCGTGCTCCGCATGCGCTTTCTCAAGCGAATCTTGCAGACTCTTCTGAAGCGCAGCCTCCGTTGCAAGATGCTCTTGCTCTTTCGCCTGCGCAGCAGCAAGTGCAGCCCGTGCTTCAGCGGCCTCGCGCTTGTGCTGCGCCTCAAGACGCGCTCGCTCAGCTTCTAAATCCTTCTTTGCCTGAGCTTTCTGCGCCTCCAGCTCAGCTTGCTTTTTTTCGAGTTCCTTGCCACCCTTTTCTTCCATCTCCTTACGAATCTGCTCAGCCTCCTTCTCCATCCTCGCTTGGTCTTCAGCATGCTGCTTCTCCGCCGCACCAAGAGCATCAGCAAGACTTTTTTTCAGAGCTTCTTCTGCTTGTCTGTGCTTGTCGGCCTCCGCTCTTGCAGCCTCAATGGCGGCTTTGATGGCCTCTGTCTCACGAACATGATCCGCTTCATGCCGTTTTTTTTCGTCTTCGAGAGCTTGGCGGATTTCAGCCTTCTGCTCCTCAAGCTGATTCTCCAGCTCCTCCTTCTGCCGCATCATCTCCTCCTGGTGCTCCTCCTCCATCTCTTGATCGTGCAGTTCCTGCTGTTCTGACATCCTGTCGCGCAAAGCCTCAGCCTCAGCCTTCATTTGCTCCTCGAGCTCCCTATGCTGTGCCTCCGCTTCGGCAGCAAGCTTCGCTTTTTCCGCTTGGTGCTCAGCCTCGGCTTTTGCCATTTTCTCAGCTAAGGCTTTTTTCATGGCTGCCTCCATAGTGGCGTGTTCATCTTCGCGAGCTTGCCGAATCGCCTCCGCGCGAATCGCTTGCGCCTGCTCTTCAGCCTCTTTTCGACTCTTCTCGATCCTCTCACGCATCTCACGCTCTTGGGCCTCCAATTGCGCTTGAAAAGCTTTTTTCTGTTCTTCCATCGCCTTCAGATGCTCCTGCTCCTTCTCGGCTTCTTCGGCAACTTTCTCTTTCAGCTCGGACTCTAATTGGTTCTGAAGCAACTCAGCCGCATGCTGCATCTTCGCGTGCTCTTCAAAGTGCTGTCTCTGCTCGTCGCGCAGCTGTTCCCTCAAAGCCAGAGCAGCTTCGTGCTCAGCAGCAGTGGCTTGCTCAGCAACGCGGAGTTTGGACTCGTCAGCCTTCAAAGCTTTCTCAAAGTCTGACTGCTTGTTCTGCATCTGCTCGTTCAATTGCGATTTTAGCAGGTTATTTTGACGCTGATGTTCCTCAACAAGCAGAATCTTCTGGCGCTCGAGCTCGGCATCTAGATGGGCCTTCACTCCCGCATCAACTTCATCGTGAAGCTTTTTGCGGTACTCCGCCTCCAAGTGTCTCTCAGCCTCGTGAGCCTCTTCGAGCAATCGTTTCTTCTCAGCTGCGTGTTCCTCTTTAGCCTTTGCCAGTTCCTTGGCAAGCTTATCTCTGCGATGACGCTCTGCGCGCACTGCTTTGATGGCCAGCTGCTTCTCGTTTTCGCGCTGCTTCAAATCTTCCTCGTGCTCGCGCTTTCGCGCCTCCTCCGCTGCCTTCAGCCGGGCCTCCGCTTGCAGCTGCTGTTGGCGCAATTGCTCATCGAGCTCCGCCTTTTGAGTGGAAAGCTCATGCTCTAAGTCTTTCTTGCGCTGTTCGCGCTCTTCCTCCAAAGTGTTTTCGAGCTCACGCTCCACCTGTAGCGCGCGTTCCTCCTGCAGCTTCATCATGATCGCGTGCTCTTCTGCCAGTCGCGCAGTCTCGCGATCGTGCTCCTCCTTTTGTTCCTCTAGATAGGCTTCGAGCTCCCGTGCGTGGTGCTCCTGAGCTAGAGCTGCCTTTTCAGCGACAGCGATCTGCTTTTCCTCAGCCTCGTGGTCGCGGGACATCGCCTCATGCTCCGCCTCGAGCCTATCCTGCAACGCTTGTCTCTGCCGTTCCATCTCGTGGTCGAGGGCCTCCTTCTGTCGCGCCAGCTCCATGTCATGCTTTTGCTGCAAATGCTCCGCCTGCTCCATCAGCATCGCATGTTCGTGTTCGGCCTCGGCTTTGCGGTGCTGCTCGTGCAGTTCCGCAACCAACTTCTTCTCGTGCTCCTCAGCGGCGTTGCGAGCAGCAGCCATCTGTTTTTCGAGTTCCTTCGCACGTTGCTCTTGCGCTTCGGCAGCCTGATTTGCCCGTTGAAGCTTCTGCTCCACCGCTTCCTGCAGACGGGTCATTTCTTTCTCTTTCCTCACCAAAGCCCGCGCAGCTTCATCTTGCAACTCGCGACGCTCTTTAGCAATGCGTTCCGTCAACTCCTTTCTCTGCCGTTCCAAGTCCGCAGAATGCGCTTCGGCCATGTGCTCTTCTTCCGCAATCTTAGCAGCGGTGGCTTCGTCGAGTCGTCGATGCATCTCTTGCTCCTTCTCGACCAAGATCTTTTCTTCAGCAGCGAGCTTGGCCTCGACTTCAGCTGCATGACGTTGCACCTCCTCCTTGCGCGCTTCTTCCGCTTTCTTGGCCTGGTCGACAAGTCGGATTTGCTCTTCTACAGCAGCAAAGCGCCTTTTAGCAGCAGCTTCCGCGTGGCGCAGCTCATCCTTGAGTCGCTTTTCGTGCATTTCGTGCTTGTGCTCCATCATCTGCCGCTGACGATCCATTTCGCGCTGCGCCTCGACCGGCAGTTCGCCGCCCTCCTCGGCTTCGCGGCGCTCCTTCTCGTGATCGAGAGCATCATGCTCAGCAGCAGCTTCTTTTTGGTACTCGGATAAATTCAACTCGTATTCAGCTCGAAGCTTGCGGAGCTCGGCTTCGAACATATGACGGCGCTCTTCCTCGAGAACAGCAGCTTCTTCGGCTTCACGCCTCTTGCGCTCCTCGTCCTCGAAGTGCTTTTTTAGCTGGTCCTGCTCACTCTGCATGCGCTCCACGCGGTTCACGGCGAGCTTCTTCTGCTTGGCATCCTCGCGAGCAGCGGCTTTCGATTTGTGGGCGTCGATTGCGCGCTCGTGGAGTTCCATTTGTTTTTGTAGAACCAACTTTTGAGAACTCTCCCGGCGACAAAGCTCGTTATGTGCGGCCATGTGCTCTTTCTCAAGACGCTCGAGTTCAGCATCGTGCTTTCGCTGACGCTTGGCTTCGGCTTTTTTAAGCTCCTCAGCCTCTCCTTCGAGCTTTATCTCGAGCTTTTCGCGCAACTCTTGCTGCTTCTTTTGCATGCGCGATAAGCGTTTCTCGGCGTTGTTCGCTTGCTTCGCCAGCTCAGCTTCGAGCTCTTGCCTCTCCTTCTCAAGCGCCGCTCGCTCTTCGGGTCTCAAGACCTTCATACTAGAACCTAGGGGAGCCGCGGCAGCACTGTCTTCATCATATCCTTCCTCTGCCGCTGCAACGTTTTCGCCTTCAGCAACACGTGGAGCCTTTTTTCCGAGTTTGGAATAAGTAGCTTCGAGTTTGGCGCTCAGCTTTTTCTTCATAGCCTCCTCACCACGCGTCAGGCTGTCATGCTCGCTCTTGTAGCGTTCCTCCACCGCTTTGAGCTCGGCCGCGACACTTTCACGACTTTTGGCCAACTTAGAATCTGCCTCGACCGCAGCAGCAGCTTGCGCAGCCTGAAAGTCGTCCACGACTCTAGACTTGTGCATACTCAACTTGTGCATGCGTGCGTGCTGAGCATGTTCGGTCTCTTCGAGCCGCTTAGAAAGATCCTCTTGTTTCGCAGCCAGCTCGCTTTTGCGCACTGCCTCTTTCTCGAGTCTGGATTTTTCCAGAGCCTCTTCTTTTTCCTTCAGCTTCGCGGCTGTCTCAGGGTCAAGAGAAGCCCGTTGCGCTTGCTCTTGCTCCATCTCCAAGTGGTGAGCGGCTTCCAGATTGCGGACGTCTTTTTCATGCTGTCTACGACGCTCTTCAGCGTCTCTCCTGCGCTCCGCGGCGAGCTCGGCGGCAGTAGCAGCGCGTTCAGATTCCACCAGTTCCTCAACCTTAGCGTGTTCTGCAGCCAGCTTCTTCTCCATAGCGTCCTTGTCTTGGGAAAACTGTGCTTCTAAGGCCTTCTTCTGTGCGGCTAGCTGGGCCTCCATTTTGTGAGCGAAATCGATTGGCGGTTTTTTCCTCACACGACTCGTTGCGCTTGCAGCAGCCAATTGCTCCTCTAATTTCTTGCCGTGCTGATCCTCCAGAGCGATGTGTTGCAGTTCCATTTGCTTTTGGCGTTCCGCTTGTCGCGCATCGTGCTTCTGTTGTTTTTGCTTCTTCAGATCTTCCGCAGCTCGCGCTCGGACCTCGTTGGTGCGCGCAGCGCGCCTAGCCTTGCTCGCGGAAGTGGCCGTGGCCTCGTCTAGCATGAAACGCTTATCCATCTGGGCAAGCACAGTTTGCAACTCACGATCCAAATTCCCGCGTAACTGCCTCAGTCGCAACTTCACTGTATGCTTCTCGTTCTCGTAGTCTCGGTTGTGCTCGCGTGACAGCCAAGGCTGCTCGAAGTACAACCGCTTGTACTCGGAATCCAAGTGGGCTAGTGCTTCCTCAAACTCCACCTCCATTTTCTCGTGTTTTTCCTCGTGCTCCGCTTGCTTAGCCTGCTTCGCTTTTGCGTGATCCCGATGTCGATGAGCCCGTTCGTGCAATTCCGTTTCGTACAAAGCGTCCATCGCATCTTTCACCTCGTGTTTGACCCTCTTTTCATGCAGTTCTTCCTCGGCCGCGGCATGCTTTGCTTCGAGTTGATTGCGCTCCATGGCTGTGCGGGTCTGCAAATCCGCGAAAGCACGCTCGAATTCCTCATCAAAGTGGGCAGCGGCAGCAGGATACTTCTTAACCTTCCCTGCACGATCGTCCAACAGCAATTGCAATTCACTTCGCTCGTCCTCATAGGACTTAGCCTCGTCGCCTGCCTCGTTGCTGGCCGCCTCCGCTTGCTCCGCGTCTCGTCCATGCTCATGAGCGACGCGCTCCAGGCGCTTTTGCTCTTCTTCAGCCTTCTCATGAAGTTCGATCTCCTTCTCTGATTTTTGCTCCGCACCTCGTTCAGGAGAAGTAGAGGACGAGTCAGTTCCACCAGCACTACTTTCGCTTCTGAGCTTTTCGATAGCAGCAACGAGTTTCTCCCCAGTCAATGCTGCGTCACGCCTAGCACCACGCTGTGCTACCTCGGACTGCATTCGCAGAATCTGCGCATTCAAACGGGTCGTCAATTTCGCTTGTTGCAGATTCGAGAAGTGTCGCACATTCGCCAAATGGAGAGGAAACACTTCCTCCAACGCCATAATCTTCTTTTCGATTGCTGGCACAGCTGCCGCATCCCGCTTTTCCTCCAAGGCATCCTTTTCGTTCTCCAGATCCTTGATGCGCTGACCGTAGGCCTTGTCTAGAGCTTCCAAGACCTCGCCTTCTTCATGTTGGCAACGAGAAATGTCGAGACGGTGGCGTTTCTGCAGCTCGTGAATGGCACCCTCCATCACCTCCTTGTCCTTCAGGGCTTCTGCTTGATAGTGCTTCTCCCCAAGTACCTTGTTGCCCTTAGCACGCTCATGCACGGGCTTCTTCGAATCTTTGAAGGCTTGCATGGCACTGTCGCTTTCGTTGAGGGAAGCCGCAACTCGTTGCGACAGCACATGAGCATGCGAGCCCTTTTCCTGAACAACACGACCGCGGGAACGACCTCTACGGGATTCTTCTTGGGGAAATGTACTTCTAGGAGATGTACAACTTCTGGCTTTAGGGGATCTCGCAGATCCCTGCTTCGAAGTGTTGTTCTCGTTTTCCGCATGGGGATGCAACAGATACTCCTCTTCATCGATAGGGTCTAAAGCCTCTTCGACTTCTAGTTGTGGAACAAGGTCCAGAGGTGGCGAAACGACTGGAACTAGCGTCGTCAGGAGTCCTGGATGCGTTGCAGTTGAAGATGTGATGTTCGGTGTAGGTGAAGAAGCAGAGGCAGCAGAAGTTAGGTCTTTGGTCTTGGCAGCCAAACCCATTCCAAGCGATGGATTGGAACTACTTACTGTGTTCTTCACATCCAGAAACCTGTTTCGACGAAGACTATCCATGTGCTTCACTTGACGCGTTTTTTCCTCAACTTCCTCGCGGCGACGGCGCTCGCTGTTCAATGCCATCTGCATAATGCGTTCCTCTAAATCCGCAGCTTTTTTTTGCGCGAGCTCAAATCGTCGTTGAACTTCTGCGCGTGGCGTTTCAGGCCACATCGACCATCCGTAGATGCCCTCTTTCAATCGCATATCCCCCACAACAGACTGCTCTTGAAGCAGCCTTTGGTCTAAAGATGTCTGCGTAGTGCCGAAACCTATCATCGAGGTACGGCTTCCTGGAGCTCCTGCTGGTGCAGCTAACCCCGTCGTCGAGAATAGAGCCGAAGCTCCTGGAGCTCCGGCTGGTGCAGCTAACCCCGTCGTCGAGAATAGCGCCGAAGCTCGCGCACCACCAGCACCAAGCACTTCATCAGGACGGCGATCGTCCATCAGCGGAGGGATGCCTATAATCGAAGCAGAAGGACGCCCTCCCAACTGTGAGTCCTGACCACCGCCAAGTGCGCCTCCTGCAGCACCAGCATGCGAAGTTGTTAAGGAAGCTCGCAAATTCCCTTTCTCTTCGTAGTTCGCGATGAAATTTCGCAGGTTCACATTCGTATTCGCTAGAGGCGTCGCTTCTATGAGTGAGTTCAGTGCGGACACATTTGAAGCAACGCGTTCCGCTTGCAAACCTGATATCGTCTTCTGCGAATGCCGGATCGCCGCTAGAGGATCTAGAGTAACTTCCCGCAACTGCTGCAAAAGACTCTCTTTCTCGGAATTTGCTTTGTCGAGTTCGCGCTGCATATCCGCAAGTTCCGAGAGCTCGATACGCTCTGCGACCAGCTCCGTGACGAGTCCTTCAGCAGCTTCCAGCTCACGCATACGCAAAGCATGCTCCTCAGGCCGTTCGATAAGAGGACTAGCCACACCAGTTAGAGACGAGGATTTACTTTTCTTACCAGTTCTACTTTTGTTCTTCTTCTCTTTACCTCGACTAGAGGCTTTGTTCAAGAACTGCTGCAAGAATCGACGATGCGCGTCACTTGTACTCGTACTATTGAGAAGCTCAGTCTGAACAGCGCCCCAATCGATGTCTTCACGGAGAAGAAAAGCCTTGACATCATCACCATCGGCGTCAACGCCACCAGCACTCAACACTGCAGTGAGCATCTTTTCGCGATCTGCTTCGGCCAAGAGAATGTTCTCTCCATCGCGGATGACAGAGAGTTGGGAAGACAACAAAGTTTTTTGTTGCTGCAGTTCGAACAGTTCGCGCTGTCCTTCTTTCAGCAAGCGCGCGTGCTCCTGCTTGATCCTGGTCCATTTTTCTTCTTCTAGCCGGATCTCCAACTGTCGCACCTGGAAGAGCGCAAGTCTCTCGTTCTCCTCTAACTTTGCGCTACGCATGATTTCTTGATGCTGCGCTTCGCGGAGTTCTCGTTTCTGCTCTAGCTTACGCAGCTCGGCTTCTAATGACACGCGCTCACGCTCATCATCGCCTGCAGTGCTTTTGTAGACGTTTTTCAGCGTGTCCTTCGCAAGACGCAAGTCTTCTGCTCTGATTTTTTCCTCTTCAACCTTGTTTACGCGATCTCTGTAAATCTGGGTTTTTTGCACATTTATCGCCTCTAGTTTCGCCTCACAACGCTCCTGCGCGGCCTGCAGACTCTTCTTTTCGCGGTGGTTAGCCGCCTTCACACCGGCTAGAAAGTTCCAGTCAGCTGGAGCGTAGTCAGCCTCGTCTTTCGAGAGCAAGTGCTGGGCATGCTCCTGCCGTAAACGCGTTTGCTCTTCGCTGGCGCGCGCAAGCTTCGCGAAGTCAGCTCGCTCGCGTGCTTCTTCCGCTTCAAGCTGAGACAGCATCTGCTGCTCTGCGCGTTCGCGCTCAAGCGTTTGCTGCTTCAGCAAGCTCTTCTCGCTATCCAACTGCCCACTGCGCGTTCGCTGTTCCAACTCCCGCTCGATCCTGCGCGTCTCCAAAGTCGAAAGCTTCAAGCGCACCTCGCGCTCGCGCGCTTCATCCTGCCTTTGGCTGTTTGCGGCTACACGACTCATCAGCGAAGCAGCGCCTGCAGCCGTGCCAGCTTGCGGGATCAACAGTCGCGAGGAGGCAAACAACCTACGATCAACGCCAGCATCTTGGTCAGAGCCATCTTCTCCGGACGAATCTTGTGACAATAACAGCATCGAGCCACCAGCTCGCTCGTCCAAGGCCATATCTCCGACGTCCTCTTCAGAGGTTTGCACCGTCTTCCGCAAAGAGTCATTGTCTTCTTCTTGCGAAGAAGAGGACGCACCTTGATCTAGTGTGCCCCTGGACTTCGTCAAATTCCGCGTCGCTTTCGTAGAACTCCCCAGACTGCTTGCCACTGGAATTTGATCCGGCGTCAGACCGAGAGAAACCAGCATTTGGCCATTTGTGGCCTTCTCCCTTGCTTGAGCCTCGAAAGTCTCGGCACGCGCACCACGAGCTTCATGATGAGCCATGCGTTGCGTTAAGCCCTCCACTTTCGTGTCCAAACCACGGATCTGCATCTCAATCTGCGCCACAGCTAGCGTCTGCAACCGTGCCGACTTGTCAGCCAGAGTCAAGCGCGTTTCTTCAGCTTGTCGGACTGCGGCCTCGTCCGACGAGGAGTTTTCGCGATCAGAAGAGGAAGATCCAAGAGCACGAGAAGATGAAGAACTACCTCCACCACCAGGATCGATTGGTAAAGCTTCAGCAGCGGAACTTCGAGTCACATATTGCTCAAAATGCTGGTTGCTAGTCGCGTTCAGCATAGATTCCCCTAGGATGTTGTTTGCTATATTTCCAGCACCAGCACGTCCTGGTGCTAGTCCTACACCTATACCTACTGCTTGTTGAGCAGAAGCAGATGCTGAAGATGAAGAGGGTTCAGTGTACACTCTGTAGAGTTCGTTCAGACTCGCGCGTGCCTGCGCAATCTCGTCACGTTGTCGGTTCACTTCAGCCATCTCACCTTCGCTTTGCCGGACAAATTCCGAAAGAGACGCGTCGCGCATCTCACTCACTGTACCCGAGAAGAGGTTCTGGTCCAATCTGCTGCTGCCTCTTCGAAGTCTTGCTGCTTGAGGGGATTCTGGCGCAGGTTGTGGCGGTGCACCAATTAAGCTGGGAATCTCGAGACGCGGTGCGGTAGCTCTAGGTAGCGAAGGTCGCACGTTACCGAGCACACTGCCACGCCAAAGAGGTAGACCATTTGAACTTGAAGATTCTCCTCCCGGCCCATAATTAGGCTGTTGATTATCTGCGTTATGTTGTCCTTCGACAAGCCAAGGCCTGGAGGTGCAGTCGAGGCAGGAGCTCAGTCTATCTTCCGCTTCCTCAGTGTCCTGTGGGACGATAGCATCCCGACACCTTTCCACCTCCTGTTCGTGACAGAGGATTTGATCATGATCCACTTCGCCTTCGACCTCTAGCGCAATAGTAGTTTCTCCTTCAAGAAAGTTCGCGTCCTCCTCATCTTCATCATCGTCACCGTAGCAAAGAAGCTCTTGCAGTTCGCACGCTTCAAACGAACCCTCGGGCGGTGCGTGGTCATCAGAAAAGTCATGTACATCTTCTACCTCATAGTCATCCACCATCGCCATCGTCTGATGACCCTGCTCCGTGAGGACTTTCGTAGGCTCTACTTGCACCTCTCCTAGATGAAGTTGTTTAGAAAGCTGTTTTATCTGGGGAAGTTGATTGTCTTGATGAACTTCATCTAACAGCGACTTCCCTGGCACGCCGAGAGCGAGGAAGCAAGGGTTGCCCGGTCGCGCAACCACCATGTGAGGAGCGTGCGGCATCGCAGCTTGATGCGAGCCTTCCGACAGATGCATTTTTCTGGAGGTCGTAGATCGATGATGTTGTCTTTCCTTCTTCTCTTTCGAAAGCACCTTGTACTGCCGTTCTAGATCGGCCTGCATCGTCAAGAGCAACTCTGTCTGTGGCAAAAGTGCCTGCACATCAGAGTCAGAGGTCGTGGGTGCAGAGAATCCAACTTCGTCCTCCTTCGAAGATGAGGCGCCCATTAGAGATGAAAATATGCTTGTCCTCTCCTGCTTCGGTCTACTTGAAGAAGACGATGATGACTTTCCTTCCGTTGAAAACGCCTTGGCAGCTTCTCGTTGCACTAAGCCAGCTGCCCTCATGTTTTTCTCCATCAGACTGTCAAAATCGAGACCGCTCGTCGATGAAGACGACGATCCAGAAAATGACGGAGTGAGCAAATCCAAACCATCAGCTTGACGTCTTGCAGCAGCAGCTCTTTCTTCACGGTCCGTCTCCGCCAAGATTGACGCTGCAGCCTCCGCCTTGTCGCTACGACCAAAGCCCCAGTAGGAGAGTGCGCTACCACCTGTTTCGTCAGCGGACGACGACTGTGGCTCATCTAGAGTGTCGTAGTCTTCTTCCGCCCACGCTTGGCCGGTGCGCTGTAACTGGGCTGCGGAGGTCTGGAACTGCGAATGGAGAGCGTTCATGGCACCGGAAAGCATGACCATTCCCTCTGGACTTTGAAGACGCGGAAATGATGTAGTACTCTGCTGTGCTGCTGCTCCCGCCCCTTGTTGTTGATGTTGTTGTTTACAACTCGCTCGACTTCCTTGTTGTGGTAGTACCTGTGACGCTGACAGAAGGTCTGAAGTCTCTGATTCGCCGCCAGCTGCAGCTGCTTTCTGTGCTTGCTTCTTTGCTGCTGTTCCAACTGGCTCTCCGCCCATCACTCCCTGGATTTGTCCTGGGAAGACACCAGGTGGTGCGCTCAGACCGCGCATCCTTCGTTGGAGTAGCTCTGCCACTCCGCCATCTGTAGTGGTCAAAGGCTCACCGGTAGCTGGATCTACCCCTCCTTCCTCGTTGATTAGGAAGAGCTCTTCTTCGCCTTCCGCATTCACGATCGCCACGATCTTGCGATTCATGCTAGCCGCAATTACACGCGGATCGTCCATACTGGTGCCAGCGGGAAGCCGCGTGACCTTCTTGCCTGAAGGAGAAACCGAACGAGGTGGAGCTTCCCTGTCGTTGTCAGGAAGGGCAGGACCGTCTCTACTCTTCTTGCTCTTCTTCTCATTCTGCGCCGCTACTTCCGCGCCTCTGTTGTAACGACCTCTCACTCCACCTGCGGAAGAAGGCGCAGACTGTTGTCTACTGTAGTCGTTGTAGTATGAGTAGTTCTTTCCTGCTACTTTCTTGTCTTTGTTCGTCTGCTTCGAGCTTGACGATGAGGATGAACTGCTAGAAGACGAAAATGACATCTTCCGTTTCTCCGCTTCAGTCAATTTTCCCGCTTCCAACACTGGTCGCTTGAAACCACGTGTCTCACCAGCTCCACTATCTCCCGAAGCAGACACTGGTGGTGTATGAGCCAAAGCGCCCATCTGATGCAGCTCCTGCAAAGATGCTCGTCGCTGCTCTCGACCAGCCGGTGCCGAATCCTTCAAGTCACCCGGCTGCGGTTTCGGCTTCTTCCTATCTTCAGGCGCCGCGAAAACGTCTTTCAGTGTCGCTAGTGCATGTCCTAATCCGAATTCAACATGGTCTATCCCGTCACCGAATTCTTCAGCGTCGCTCTCGCTCAATACGGGCACATCAAGGTAAGGTGCACGTTCAGTTTGAGCAGGATCAACAGGAGGCATTCCTGCTGGATCATACATCCCGCTTGCGAGCATCCGTTCATAGCTGGTTTTATTAGTACTAGCAGCTGCATTCTGAGAAGGTCGATCTCCCTGTTGTTCTGGATGGTAGTAGGAGTCTTGTATTAATTTGCTACTCAGTTGTTCTCGATCCTGCCTAAAGTTTGCTCCTTTAGGAATTTGAGAGTCCGAAAGCTTGTGCGAACCTTCTTCAAGATGATGGCGTCCACCTCCCATAGAGG